AGCAAGGTTGCCTCGGATATATGTTTTTTCTGTGTTAAGTATGTATATTATATATTTGTGAGATTTTTATATCAACATTTTGATTTTTTATAAGAAAAATGTATTTTGTTTTTGTAAATAAAACGCCCAATGACAAATTATCAAAGGCAACTCATTGACGTTTGTCGTAATTTACGAGAATTATAGACTACTACTACTGTCTGGTTTGCAAAGTGATCAATTCAATTATTCGTATCGCTCGCACGGAACAACCCCTCGTTCGTCGCCACGCGCACCGGAATGGAACCGAACAACCGACAAATTTGTCGGGAACAAATAAGCCAAGTTCTCACGAAAACACGACCGACTTCATTATTGGGAACGTCCTACTGTCGGTGTCCCTGATGTTGACCCTTACCTTCGGCTTCCTCGAGGTTTTATACTCGCGCGTGCGCGAGTTGACGCGTGCGAATAAACATTACGAGGGGTGGTTGATACCCCGATGATATAACGAGGGGCATGGGGTGGGAGATTACGATTTTGTTGGCACGAGCCAAACGACTCGCGACATATGTTCACGAACAGCTGATGCACTTAACTAATAAGTCTTTCTCTCTCTTTACAAGGCACGCGATAGCACGACCTCATACGCGTGTGTGCATTACATGATGGCTCTCTCTCTCTGTGCCCGAAGAGAGAACCTGGGAAAGTAAAAACCTCGCGACTCAAGAGTGTGAGAAAATTCGTGCGCCGTCACATATGGCGGATCGACGACGTTGCAATGATCGTTGACGGCACCACAAGTGTGCTATAATAATAATTAATTGCGTGACTGAAGCGCGTTATTATAAAAGATTTATTATAAACAAGACCTAAAGCCGCGTCGAAAGTTCAATACAAATGTTGTTTTACGTTGCTACTGTTTCACGGAAAAATACAAATAAAATAAAATTAACAAAACTTAAGACACACAAAACACACGCCACGCGTGTAGTTTGATAATAAATAATAATATTTTTTGCAAGGCAAACTACAGCAAATTGGTTTTTTTATTGGCTATACGTTCTCGTTCGATTGTTTCCGTTGATATTTCCGTTTTTAGTCTCGCGTGCCACGTGCCGCAACACGTGTGAAGGGCGCCGAGAGCATGAGTCAATTTATAGAATTAATTCCATATTGTTCATTGACATACTCGAGAATCTCGAGATATAATATGCACATGTGCGTACAAACGGTCGCGTATAAAAAAACTAATGTATAATGAAACGCAGTAGAAAACTGACCTTAAGCAAAGACGGCACGTGGCATTATATTAAAAGTGTTCTTTGAACTGTATCATTTTATTTATCCGTCATTGGCTAATGTCATAAATGCGTCATTCAGTAGAAATCTATATAAGTCTAACGGCGTAGAAAAATCTCTATAAATCTAGCTTTATAATTAACATTTATAACTAATCCACACTTGCTATTTTATCTGCGACAAACTTGATAATTTAGATGTGTTAATTTTTCATAAAACCTTGAGTTTTTTTTATTAAAAAAACATCTAATACTTGTAACAAAATTAAAATAAAGTTCCCGTGTCTACAAAAATAATCAATATTTGCGTGAGAGAAAGAAAAAAAACACTGATATCAAAACGAGAACAAATGTGTACAAGAAACGCGTTATCGTTTTATTTCTACCCATTTCTATCAGAATTTCCTTCTTAGTGAGTTGTCTTCAAAATTGAATTATTTTTAGCTTACAGGTGCAATTTTTCAGCGATAACTATTGTTAATAACAATTTTTAGAAAAAAACTATAAATTTAGAAATTTAAGTTGCTTGAAAGTCTTGACTAATTCACCGCTAAACTCTCGACAAATGATGTAATGGGAGATGTGCACGTGTAGAAAGTGCATTTGGTTACACGTGCAAGAGCACATTATACCAACAGGACCATTAGGCGAAACTTCCGATTACAACACGCTATTTTGATGTAACTTTGCATAACGATATCTCCGCACGAAGTTTCGTTACAGAACGATACGATGTAAAAAACAGTCAATATGGCAAATTTAATTGTGCCTTTGTATCGTATTTTACCAATATGTGAATTTAATGTTTTTAAATATTCGCAACGCGTGTACAATATTATTTTTAAAAAGTCAAAAATTTTTACTGTTATGAGAATTAATATTTTAATTTTTTTTTTCTATAACAAAAAGCGAGAATATTTTGTGATGAATCAACTTGTGTTCTGCAACGCGGATACTACGAAAATAACAAAGAAATTTTCGTGTGTCATCAGCCAATTCTCGGAGACTCACATTCGGTTCACTTTCACTGAACGAGCCCGACTTTCGTGGTTACATCTACATCACGCAGCGCCTTACAGTCACTTAAGTCCCCGCAACATCGCTAATTAGGTCCCACGAGATCGCGCGGAGACGAGAAGATCTGATCTGAGTCGCGACGGGAACGAAGCGAGACAGGAAACGAATTACGAGCGCGGTTATCTCGCGATCGCGTTGAATTCTATCGAAGTACCGCCACTCGTTAACGACACGCGCAATTGGCCGATACGCGAAGAAGAGTAAATGCCGATAGAGAAAATAGAAGAAGTAGAGAGAAGAAAATGTACGTAGAAAGTGAGAAAAGAAAGAAAGAGACGGAGCAGGAAGCTTCGTAAGAAATCGCGGTAGCGAGAAGAGACGTAAGCAGTGCGCGGAGAGAAAGAACAAGAAAAAAGAACAACGTAACGACGAAGTGAACGAAGAAAGAAAAATAAGAAAATGGCGTAGGGTCGCAGAAGCACAAGGATAATGAAGAGAAAGAGAGAGAGAGAGAGAGGGAGAAGCACGAAACGAGCGTACGTAATTATTCGGTGCGAACGACGTTTAAGTATCCGGTCGCGAAATAAGCGAAGTGGTCGGTCGGGCACAGAAAGACGGAGGACGAAGGAAGGAAAAACGAACGGACGAAGGGCAGAAAAAAAGGAGCAAGAGACACCGCAAGGGCAACCGGAGAAGAGAGACGCGTATGGTCGCGTAGGATATAATTCAGTGGCTCGCCGAAATTAGTATCTCGAAGTGCACGGGAGAAGACGCGCGCAGAGAGCGAACGGCTCGCGCGTCCGAGATACTCGTTTCGCGCGATGACTATCCGAAGCGGGAGGACGGAATTGTTTTTGTTTTGTTTTACGAAACATCACCGCGAAATTAAAGCCGCGCCAGACCAACCGAAGAAGGCCCACTTTTCGGCCAATTTTCGCGATAGGTTACACGGTCGGAGCGCGAACGAAAGAGAGCGAACCTCTCGCGCGCCGTTTTGACGGGAACGTTTTTGAATATCCGTCCCGAGACTTTTTACTCCTTAACTTCGTGTAATTATTATATATCGGTGCACCCGATAATTATGCCCGGGTAATCGATGCCTCCCGAGGTGAAATATCGCACCGGGCTCGCCGTTGAGGAATTCACGGACGGCGTCAATAACAATAAAACCGAAACGCCAAGAGATTTGAATTTTTCGCGTGGTCGTGCGTTTGTACATTTATATACACCTGTGTTATCGTAGCCACTTTTCTCGGCTATTAACATCGCGTGCTTTGCCATATTCTTTAACTCGCACGGGGTATCAATTATATGCGAGAAATTTTCGAACTTTTTATTTCTCTTCATCTCTTGCCCTTCTGTACGTAATTGTGTGTGTACATGTTGCCGCGCTAAAATAACGCACGCCGCCGTGATAATGGAGTCACGTTCGCAATGTATACGCGATATTGAACTGTCATATATTAACGTTTGTGATAAATGAAACGATGTAATCTTGCCTCTCGGAAAGAGAGTTCGAAACTAACACAGTCTGCAGCCTAGAATATCCACACTACATAAGGGTAATTGTTTCCCAGCAACTGCGATTGTCGGTTAAGAATAAAGTGCCGCGAGTTAGCGAGAGCGAGATTATTATATTAAGATCGGATTCGGTCCGCGAATCCCCGTTCACCACCGCCGCAATGTCTGATATTCGTAAAAGCGCGCCCGCTGTTCGAAAACGAAGAAACCGAAATCGGCACGGCGCCAAGATAAAAATTAATTACCCGCGCGTCTCTCGATTTTTACTGTGTACACGATCGACCTGACGACCGATTTGTCATACCCTTTTGCAGCAATGACTCTTTATCGAGATCGTTCGCTATCTTCTTCCCCTCCCCCACGCTACTCCGCGTTAATACACGTAAAACGATCGATCAATCGCGCCACCATTGGCCGCGGTGCCATTCCGTGGCGGACCGGACGGTAACAAATACACGTACACGCATACAACATCGTGTAGCCGGTGGGATTGCAATCACGAGAGCAGAAGTCGGACTTGTGCCGAGCACGCTCCTCGGCGCGGCGAAGCGGGAGAACCAGAAGCAAAGAGGCGAGAAAGAGAGAATGGCGAGAACGATGAGTAGAAGGAGGTGGAGGCGCGGGATCTCGATAAGAAGATCCAACGCGAGAGCATGGAAGCCGCGGCGATTGGCGGAAGGAGCTGCGTCTCTCACGGGCGGGACGAGGACGGGGATCTCTTTCTATTTTGCCCCGAGACAAGGAGAGGAGACCAAGTAGTCGGTCGCGAAATCTAGTCCTTCCGCTATGAGCGCGTGGAAATACGTGCGAATGGGAGAGAGAAAAAGAAAGAGAGAGAAATAGAGGTGAGAACGAGATACGGCGAGAGATGAACGGAGAGAGTGAGAGAAGAAGAAGAGGGACGCGACGATTACGAGCCGTGCATACCGTAGCACGACCACTCGACGATCATCCGAGGGTAGGGAGCATCGACTTCGCGGCGCGACTAGGTGCAACAAGGATGCAAGGAACGGTGACGATGGCTTGGTGTGGGCGCGTGTCTGGCAGCTGCCGCTTACAGGTGGTGTGCTTGCTTGGGAACCAAGCTCTACGGACCGTTCCCACGGAAGGCCTGGCCCCCACTATACGGCCCATCGTATCCTTCCCTTCGCCCCGTCCACCACCGGGCCCTTCCCTATATAAGCAGCAGCCTCGCCCGACCGCAACTACAATCACACTCAGTTCGTGTTCACTCGAGGGTCGTGCTTGGAGACTTACGTGTTTTATCCAGATACACGCACGTTTCCTACCGCCAATCGCCCAGTGACTCGCAATCGCAGCGACGATATCGAAGTTCGACGAACCGGTGTGATAAGAACAACGCGTTCGCGATCGAATCAAGTTTTTTGTCGAGTGAGTTTTTTGACTTTGTGCCCTCGCGACAAATTTGCTCCGAAAAAAAAAAAAAAAAAAAGGATTAAGCATGCAGATGCACGAGCAGCTCATCATGGTCGACGGACAAGAGCAGCCGATCTCTAGAACGTATCAGTACCGGAAGGTAAGTGTTATCGTATCTATGTATCTATCTTATCACCGGTGCTTTGATTGTCTAATCGTAAATTTCGAGTTAATTGACAAGTTTGTCGTTGCTTGTTGTTGTTTCTTTCTCTTTAAAGTCGAACAAATCAAACATCGAGCATTAAATCTCAAGGTTTTCTCTCGCGAGAATATCTTCGTAACTCTCATCCGTCGTTCAGCAAAAACGTCAACTATAACGATTTTTTCCTTTCGATTCGTAGGTGATGAAACCGATGTTGGAGCGCAAACGTCGAGCGCGCATCAATCGTTGCCTGGACGAGCTCAAGGATCTGATGGTGACCGCATTGGCCGGCGACGGCGAGAACGTGGCAAAACTGGAGAAGGCGGACATTCTGGAGCTGACGGTGCGTCACTTGCACAAGCTTCAGCGTCAGCAACGTCTGTCAGCGAATCCGGTAATCGATGCTGATCGCTTCCGCGCCGGTTACACGCACTGCGCGAACGAGGTGAGCCGCTGTCTCGCCGCGACCCCCGGAGTCGATGTCGCCCTGGGTACTAAATTGATGACACATCTCGGCCACAAACTCAATTCCATGGACAAGACCGGACCGCTGACCATTCACGTAACCGCGCCGCAATCCTCGCCGTCGTCTTCCAGCGAGCTCAGTTCCGACGATTACTCGATGCCTTTGACACCAGCGTCCAGCCAACCATCCCCGGTGCGAACCGACATCGAAGCCGTCTCCCAGAGCCACCAGGGTCTTCTGCAAGTGGCTAAACCCAACGAGCCCATTTGGCGACCCTGGTAAAAACGGACGAAAGCCCGGCGGAATTATTCGGGAACCGGCGAAACGAAGATTCTTCGAAAAAGTTATTCGAAGGATCCGGCAGCCGGTGTTGCAATCTCGTCTGTGATCCGTCACGTGACCGGAACGAAAATGCCGCGATTGGGAAAGCAAGGATGTGGACGAGAACGAGAGGTTCTACCTGCGCGGCACCACGAAGAAGCAACCTTTCCTGGGTGTTTCATTTGCTCAAGAACACACGAATCGCCGACGCGCCGACGACGAACATCACGTTCTGTCAACCTTCGGGCCGCCATATCCAGCGACGTTCCACGATCGCGAGACACTGGGATCTCGATATACGTAGTTTTTCGCGGCCGCGCGCACGGCTGAAGCTTTAATTTACTTGAACAGAGTTAGATGTTTTTCTATTGTTTATTTCATACTTTTATCGATGATGTTTTTTTTTATTCGCCGATATAATAACGTTGTTGTATGAGTCTCTCCACCCCGGTCGGAAACACAAACACCGGACGACGACAAACAACAGCGGATGATCTCTCGAGGCGACTATCGACTTCGGTAAATTCCGAACGAACGAGCATGCGTCCGTTTTTTCATACCGCGCAACGCAAAATAAATGAATAAATAAATAAATAAATAAATATATATATATATGTATAAAAAAGACCGAGCGGAGAATCTTGTGATAGAGAAACGTGTACCTGTGATATTTACTGTAGTAGGCGTAAAGAATAACACTAGATTTTTAATAAACAACACATGTTTCATATCAAAAATATGTCCTTCGATATCTACCTACCTACCTGCATAGTGTAGAGATTGATCTAAGATAATCAATCTGAATTTCTAACTAAAATAGACTCGTGTTCTGAAGAATTTCTTTTTTTTCTGCGCGAATTTTCTATTGATATCTAACGACAAGAGACTTAAAAAAATTCATATATCACACGGTCGATATTTAAAAGTATGAAAACACAAGTTACTTGTTCTTCTCCAGATATTTCCAAGACGTAAAATAAGCAATGTCATATAATACAAAAAAAGAAACATAATCGACGTATCGGAAAATCGATAAGACGGTAGATTGTTAAAAAACAAAAAAAACTTGTCGAGACTTAAAGCACGAAAGGAGTGCGCTTACGATTGATTTTTTTTTTTTTTTTTTTTCGAGAAAAGTTAGCAATCTTAAATACAAGTGTTTCGTAGAAGCGACACACGAAGCTGGAAATGAAGATTAAGCAAATATATACTTGGGAATGCACTCACCCTAATGCACCTTCTCGAACTCCCTGCTGCTCATTCCTTCCCTGCCAACTTTGCTCCCACCTGAAAACACACGTTGCGCGCGTGTTATAACCGCGTCCGAAGGAAATAATACACTTAACCATTACAAAACCGCGTGACCCTATGCCCGACCTCACACGAGATCTCACCACAACAATATAACGCCGTCAGTTTCAACAAATCCATTTTTTGACGTTTCGGATATATTTTTGCACGTTAAAGATCTCATGTGTAAATTTCAATTCTTTACTTGCAAATGCGCATTTCTTAATGAGATAAAAAAATCTAGTTGTTTTTTTTTTTTTTTTTTTTTAATCACTCGGCATGTTGCAATCGCGGAAATTTTGAACGCAAAGAATTGACGTGTTCGCGTTAAACAACACACAGAGACTTCGCGCTTCGACACGCTTGTGAATAACGATACATATTTATACGCAGAAACCCACGGAAATGTACACCTACGCATTTTGCAATCAAAACAATTGAGTATTCTGTATTCGTCTTTATTCTCGCGCGCTGTGTTTTTGCAATCAGAAATATCGCGTTTTCAATAACGTAAAAATATAATCGTCACGTATATATATTTTACATTTTTTTATTACCTTTCGACTATTTTCGGACAAATGCTACTTGAAACCGTTCGAGAGATTAACATTTCGAATTCAGTTTGTAATAATAATCACGTTTCGGAATTTGAAATACAATCGCGAAATTCGATAGCTCTTCGTGTGGCTCGGCAATTAATCGCAATGCCGAGTCGTATCAGCGGAAGTTTTGAAGCGATTCAATCTGATATGAACACGCGATTAACACTTTCACGTCCGAGTCCCGGCTACAAATGTGTGTTTGTTCCGCGAGCAAACTTCGGCAAAACGCAGAAGCGCGAAAGGGTTAAGTCAAATCACCGTGCACCCAGCAATTCGCTCGATTATTAAACACACCCGCGAATTTGTCGATACTTTATTAAATATCTCGCGTCCTGTCGTTCGGTGCAACGACCTCCGCCGAAAGGCGGCGCCATTGCGCGCGCGCCGAAATTTGCGCGCGTACCCGTAAAGCGCGCCACAGAAAGCAAAACAAACCAGCGAAGTTGTCGCCGACGATCGACACACGAGGGTTTCTATGAAAAAACCCGATCACATGAGCAATCGCAACCTCTCTCAAAAATTCACGAAGAACCGGGATCGCTCTGACGACTCGTCGCGTTGTAACGTTTCGATTTTCAATCGCGGTAATTCTCCGAATTCCACCGGGGGGAACCGACCGTTGCAACGAAATTTAGGTTAGCGTCATCGGGGATCGCAAGGGCGCCTCGACGTTTTTCGATCGTTTCGTTGTTTCGTGAAATCGTTCGCGCGCGAACCTCGTCTCGGGGAAATACCTTGTGAAACGCGTCACACAGAAGTCAACGGACAATCATTATCGGCTATCGCGAGGGACGGCAGTCAAGGTTAAGTATGTCGATTCGCAAGGACTGTTATGGTAGAACGTCGGAATCCGCGCGCGCGAACAGCGACGCGCGTTTAGAAATAGATTACCCGAACGTTGACGTTCTCGCCTTCGAGGAGCGTCCCGCGTATAGTGTTCCGACTGGATGAGCGGCGAACATCCGTGATAAAAACGGAAAATTCACTTGGTTTTTTATACTCACTTTTCCTTGCTCCGCCACGAACCGCCACTCAGCTGTAGCACGTGCTGTCACTACAGGTGCACGATCACGCTCCGCCGTCATCTTGCGACGCGCCTGCGAAACTTTGACGCGCGCGCGCCGTTGATAATGTCGTGCTCGCCGATAACGACATTATTCGTATCCGACGATAAAGTTGTTTCGTGTGCTCGTGCGATAATCGTAATATTCAAATGTATTCTCGACTCGAGACTACACACTACACACACGTGCGTGAAAATATAAAATTAATTTACAGCATAAAACACAAATGTATTTGTTTCAATGTCCTATTTCAAGTTCTAGAAAGAAAATTTTATATTGTTAAACATTTTGCAGTTTTTATAAAAAATGTTTAACGAAGCGTTAAAATTTAACGGAGTCGATCTATCGTGACGCTGTCTCGTAATTAACACAGTTAGACAATTGTACATCAAATGGTTTTTTAATTGCACAATGTTTCGTAAATCTTTTATTTGTTACTGGTTTTTTAAACATGGTAGAGCGCGCGTAAAACACGCTCTTTTAAGCCATTCGCGCATTGATCGCTTTTATTTGGTTTCTATGTCAACCACCGGTACTGTGTAAAGCTTCCAGTCATTAAATTATACTGCAGTTTCTCGACGGGATTCTATTCATATATATCGAGAGAATCGTTTTTTTTTCGCTCTACTTGTGTTTAAATTATTTCACCATTTCTTCGCCTTACGATGGTGCAAAAGAAGATGCATCAGCCGGAAATGCGTGCAACGTATCTTTTCAAACCCGGACAAACGTTCGAAAATACAAAAGTGAGTAATTTAATGATTTTTTTTATTGTTCAAAAAACTTTTGTCGAAAAACATGCATGGAGAAAAATTAAATATTTCTCGCGTCTCAATTACCACCGAAAGTTTGGACGCGCTCTCTTTTCAGCCGTCCGAAAGAACTCGGGCGTTAATAATGCCGAGAAGCACTTATCAACGGTTTGTGGATTGTGTCACGGAAGAGGATCGAATGGCGGCACAACAAGAACAGCAAGCTGCGAAACTTGCGGCGCTGAAAAAAGCGACTTATGAAAAAAGTAAAACGTGGGATACCAAAATAGAAGTAAGTTTCTGTTCCGTTTTTAACGTATTAAAAAAAAAGAAAAAAACATATAATTACAATTTTCTATTCCATTAAATAAGATAATTTTTGTGCAACACGTTTTCAAAGAATTTGTGTTCTATTTCTAATTAATAATAAAAATTAACGAGCAAACTCGCGATAAAATACAGAATATAAAGGCGAGAAAAATGAAAGAGCTGTTATCAAAGAAGCGTAAGGATGAGGAGGAAAGAGAGGTGTTCGTGAAAGAAATGGCGAAGAAGAAAGCGACGGAGCGTGCAGAGGTGGTGCAGCAAGCGCGGAAGTTGCTCCTGGAGAAGAAACCGTTGTGTCGGCGAATTAATCGCGCTCTTCTCGTCTCCGAGGTATTTTCTTCATGAGAAAATCGTTCGTGTAATTCCTGAATCAGACTCGTCGTTAATTAAACTCAAACTAGTACTCTTCCTTGTGATTTCATCAGTGTCTACGTGAACTCGACGCGCAAGTATCGCTCCAGAAGACTATTAGAGCGATGGACAAAGAACTGGATGCGGAATACGCTAATTCGATTAAAGCGAACGTCGCGCAATACGAGGAGCAGAAAAAGCAAGAAGCGGATGAGCAAGCGAGAAAGATCAGAGATTACGGAATGGAACTAAAAAAACGGTGAATATAGATTTTTTTAAATAAAAATATTAATATGAAAAAAAATACAAAAATATGAGAGAACGAGATTATGCAAAAATGTTTGACCGAGAGAAAGTTCAAGTGTTAGTATATTTGCTTCGGATGGCGAGATGTGTATCGTTTCGAAAGTAAAAATCATTCGAAGCGAATGTGCTAATTAGTTCGTTAATCATAAATCAGAATCGATGAGAACGAAGAGGACAAGAAACAGAAAGCCACGGAAGAACTGAAGGCTGAAAAACAGGAACAGAGATATATGGCTCGAGACATGCAACTGATGAGGGAAAAAGAAATGCAAGACGTATGTGGTGTCTAATAATTGCAAAACATACACTTTATCACGAAGAATAAGTAATTTCAGATTTTCCGTTCATAGATATTAAGTAAAAAGAAGAAACTCCAGAAGTTTTTCAAAGAAGCAATAGAAGAGAAGAAACGATTCGAACTAGAACTGCAGCGTGAGGAGGAGCTTGAGGATCGAGTGATACAGGTTTATCGAAAAACTAAAGACCGAATAGAGAATCTTCACAAATCGTTAAAGCTGAAGGAAAAAGAGGAGAGAAAGCAGCGAGAGCAGATTACAAGTTGGGTCGCTTTTATAAAAATAATTGCTAGATAGAATTCACGTAGACGACTACTAATTGATTTTTTTTAGTGAAAGAATATAACAATAGAATAATTGAACGCGCTAATGATCGAGAGAAACAGGAGCAAAAGATGATCGAGAAAGCTGTGGAAGAGAAAGAAGCGACCGAGGCGGAAAAGCGAAAAGCGCGAGAGGAACGAGAAAAAACAATGCGCGCCCTTATGGATGAGTTCAAGCTTCAAGATGCGGCTGTAAGAGAGGAACGAAAACAGAAGGAGAAGATTTTGAAGGACTGGGAGATGATGCAGAGATTTAAAAGAGACGAGTATAACAAACAAACCGATTTGGACGAGCGCAAGCAGCAGTGGCAACAAAAGTTGAAATACAGAGACGAATTACGAAAAATTGCTGTAAGATTTGTTTTTTTTTTTTAATTTAGACGAATAATAGAAGCTAGATTATTTGTTATTTTTAAATACGTATTTTAATATCACATCAGGAGGAAAAGCAACTAGAAAAGAAGCACGAGGAAAACGTTCTCGAAGCTGAAGCCACGAATTTGAAAGCCGCGATTGAAAGAACGAATCAGAGGATCTTACAATATGGCGACGAAGTTTTGCAAGAATCGAAATGTGTGAGACCGCTTTATCCGATTGTCAGAGCCATAGAGGTAAGCGCGCAATATTTGTTGCGTGAAAATAAATCTATAAAAAAAATCATTTTTGATTTGTAGGAATGCAAAAAAGAAATGGGTTTAATCCCGCCGAAGAAAATCGAAGAAAAAGTGACACCGAAGAAAAAATACAGAAACCGTCGTGTTTGCAGGAAGTCTGTTCCAGCCGAAAAAATATATTATTTCCAGTAACTACTGTGTTCGTGCGCACGCGCGCGCAATAAACAAAAATAACGTGTATCTCGCATGTTTGCATATTATTATCACGCGATTCACGCGCTTCGTCCGCTTACTTACAGTGTCATTCGATCGAATCATTCGCGCACTCACGTGTCGCACGCGATCGAACTTCCGCGTGACTCAATTGCGTAGCGACTTTATTGCGCGGATATCGATAACGACAAAACTGTGCACACTTTTAGCTACTCTCGCGAAAGTTTAAATACTCTCACGATCATTTCTCGCGCCCAAAGTGCTCATTACGCGTCAAAATTCTCGTTTCTCAACGAAACGACTAAATAAGTTGTCTTAAAAACAGGTTTCTCGAGAAACACGGCTTCGTTTTATATCTTCGTTATCGCGTGCACGTTCAATTAACAAGATGCGTAAATTGTCATTAAGAGAGATTTTATCTTTTTATGAGATTATTTCAGTGTAAACATATACATTTAATGCTGACATATAAAAACAATTATAAAACTAAAAATAATGTCTTTCTCGTGTAATACAAAATATGTACTTGTTGAAAATCCTGTTCTGGCGTAACAAGTATAAATCTTCAATAAAGTGTGACAAGCTCGCGATCTTTGGTAATTTCATTAATCGATATGTGATGCAAATTGCACTCGCAAAAATCGATTATTAAAAATGTCGCATTTGCGCGATATGTTATAAAACGCAGCTTTCTAGTATATTTCCAAAAGTATATATATATATATATATACATATATACCTTACTCGAAAGTTTTTATACGTATATAGTTTAACAAGAGATACTTGATATGTACGAGATGTTATTTTGCAAATTTCGAAGTTATTTACTTTGATGTATTCGTAAAGATACGAATCTTCTCTTTCGGAAAAAATGTCGAAAAAAGAGCCGAAAGATGACAAACCGAAGCCGAAGAAGACCATACCGCCGTCGGTCAATTTTTTACTGGGTGGACTTTCCGGGTAATTTTCTAACAGAATATTTTTTTTTGTCCCGCTAAGAAATAAAAACACAAGTATCCGTTGTGTCCATCTCAGAATGGCGGCAACCTGCGTGGTCCATCCGATGGACGTGATCAAGAATAGAATGCAGGTGCACAAGGGCAAGGCATCGATCGTAGAAGTGATCGGCAACACGTTCGCGAAAGAGGGTATTATCGCGTTTTATAACGGCCTGACAGCCGGTCTTCTGAGACAGGCCGTGTACACGACTGTGAGACTCGGGATTTACAATCAATTGCAAGATGTTTGGAGGTAAACCATATCTGAAAAATATTTGTGGGAGAGATTATATAATATCTTCAATCACATCTTTACAATACTCATTGAACAAATGTAGCAATTTTGAAAAACGATTGTTTGATGTGCATTTAGACAAAAACATACTGGTCGTCCTGGTTTCGGTGTTCTAGCTCTTATGGCTGGAACTGCTGGTGCCGCGGGAGCTTTTGTCGGTACACCAACCGAAGTTGCACTCGTAAGAATGGCAACTGACGGTAGCTTACCAGTAGGTAATAATATAAAATTAAAATATTAAAATTTTCATTAATATGTGAAAAATGTCACGATTGTTTAAAAATGTCTGTAACATATATAAATAAATATGACGAGTGTGTATAAATGTGTATATAAATACACATCCTAATATTTACGAGTTGATCTCTTGATCATTACTTCAGAGCAACGAAGGAACTATAAAAACGTGATCGATGCGTTCACCAGAATTGCCAGAGAAGAGGGCATGTTTGCTCTTTGGAGAGGAGGCGTTGCTACGGTAGGACGAGCTGTTGTCGTTAACATTTCGCAACTGGCAAGTTACACTCAAGTGAAGAATTTGATAAAAGCGCAAAGTACGTTTGACTTTTTCAAATACACGTCTGACGTAAATCAAACAAATCTCACGTTTAGTTTTGAACATTTTGATTATTTATTTACGCCTTTTTTATTATTCAAAAAAAATATTTTTCAAAAAAAAAAACGTATAATTTTTCTCGCAGCGGACATAAAAGAGGGTTTAGGTTTGCACTTCTATGCGTCAATGATATCAGGATTCCTCACTGCTTTCAATTCCATGCCCTTTGACATCGCCAAGACCAGGTTTATTATTCACGTAGAACTCTAAATAATGTGATTTTTCTTCGAAACTATCTGGTGAGATTGTTATCGCACACACGTGTAACTGTTCGCAGAATACAAACTTTAAAAGGCGCTGGTAAACCTCCCGGTATGGTCGGAGTAATAACGTCGATAGCAAAGAACGAGGGAGTAGGAGCGCTCTGGAAAGGTTTCTGGCCGACTTACTGCAGAATAGGCCCGCACACGGTGCTGACTCTCATTATCAACGAGCAATTAATGAATTTATACAGAACATATTCGCAGGATTAAAGAAAAGTGTCTAAATAAACATGTTCACGTGTTGTTACGTAAATGCGTCACTTAAAAAACTGTACACAAAAATCATACGAAAATTATACATTTAAAATTAAACTTTTGAAAGTTTACTACGTGTCGACTTAATCAAATAGTTGCGAGCGTCCATGATTAAAGTAGATAAATTTTATTATCACGACGCCGGAAAGAGTATGAAATACAGTTGGTACAATTGATCGAGGCACACCATGGTGATCACTGTGTTAGGCGCTGCTCTTGAATAATACGGAAGAAATCCGCGCCACAACGACAACGCGCCCTCCGTCTTGACGATATTGCGCATCATACCCGCGAGACTCAATGATTTCTTGGAATCTCTTAGATTTTGAATTCTGTAAGAACAAACGCAAAAGATAGACTTTGATCGAGACATTTTCTTGAGGGGATTTACTTCTACCTAGTTTTCGCGGTGTCTATTGGAATCGAAACGAAGGACGTGACCACACTGGATATCATGGCCGCGGCAAATTGTAGCAGCATATCATTTTTAATGTATCCTATATTAATGTATTAAAAATAGATTAAATTTGTACTTTATTACACAATATTTTAGTTATCGTATAACGATCGTTTGATTAATAATAACCTCTGTCTTCCAGAAGCATCTTCAATCTGGTGTATGTACCTAATTGCGCACCGTTAACGATCGCCGCTCTGCCCATCGTGGGCAACGCTCCTCTCCACAATTTGAAAAATCCTTCGTTTTTCCATATGTCGATTATACCGTTAAGAGCGTTCTTGTAATTCCGTCGCTTTTCTACACGTAAAAGCAAATTTCCGCGAGAGAGCATGTAATATAATTTTAGAGGATATAAAATAAACAAACCACTCTGTATACCTGGTGGCAAGTATATGTCGGCCACCATGCGAATCATTACTATGTCTGTGGGGGTACCAACGAAGGAACCCATCACACCGGCAGTCATCCCCAGTCCAAACATCGTCGCGTAATTCAAACGGCCGAAGTGACGTCTGGTGATAAAGATTCAAGTTAATATTTACACAACATACAGAACGTTGCTTTTCACGATGTGTTCGCGTATAATTTGAGTAATTGCCATTACTCCCCGACATCCAGAAGGGTCATGTAAATTCCGAGTCTGCTGGTGGTGTAAGTCATTTGACGGAGAAGGCCGCCGCTCAAACCGGTATAAAAACCACCGATTCCGTTCTTCTTGTGTATTCGTAATATAGCTTTGCGCAAAGAACTTCGCGACACTTGCATGCATATTTTAAGAACGTCCATGGGATGCGTCACGGTCTGCGCTATCACTCTGCGATTGATGATAAGAAACAAAAAATCTCGCTGTCAATGTTTCAACCAGAATAAATTCTCGAAAAATTTACGCGACAAGTAAAAGAATGAATCTTGTTACATTGTAATTGTAAAATGAAAAATTGGGACGAGAAATTTTGTTTTACCCCGATATGCCGCCTATCATGAACTTGGCGAACGTTGGCACTTTGGCGTTTGCGGTCGACGCCGACATTGATGCATCCTTCTTTTTTCATGCTAAGCCAAGATATCTTGTAACGCACGAATCATAATAAATTTTTTAACCTCCCACAGCAGATTTACATTTCTCCCCTGTGAATGTAGGTATATGCGAGATAGCACATGCAAAACACACATCGAGTATATACTACGACATTTTGAAAATTAGAAGTTATGTGTTTCGCAAAATTACGTAAAAGTATATTTTAATTCACTCTGTTTTTGTTTTTAACGTATTTTTTATATACACATCGAATGCAACTTGAAAATAGAAAAGATATAAAAAAAAAATCCAACAATTCATAATTATTATAAGAAAAATCATTTTACGTTTTTCTCAAGAGCTCAACGATTTGATTGCGCGCGTAGATGACTTGAATTGTGTGTTTGAGTTACCCGAACATTTCTTTAATACAACGGTCGATACAACAAAATTAAATTCTTCAGTGACCGACCGGTGCGGATACGTCAGCTGGTGCCCCAGTGTGGAGCTTTTCTCTCTGTTATGAGTTATGTACGAGAGTCAACTGATTTGTAATATTTGTAATTTTGTAAGTGCCGCTTTATTTTAGCGCTTTGAAGAGCGAAATGCCGCCCGAACTGATGAAAAATCGCGACTGGAAAGCACCGTCGGAATAAACGATTTCGCGAAATTGTCGACACATCGAGTGACGTGCGGAGGTTATTTCGCTCGTGTTCGATGTCTGTCACGACGTTTACGCTTACGTGTCGGCGAGATAATGTCCCATTGTAGCAATGGAAACACAACGTACCGATTGCGTTTGTGCACATAACGAACGCCGGTAGAATATTCGCGATTGATCGCGCGCAATTATTCGCGGCGATTAGCTCGCGCCGAGCTACTGTCAAACTGGAACTGTCAGCGTATGATCTTTGATGGCTGGACTATTTTTTAAAAACAGAGAAAAGATCTTGGGTGTTTACGTTGTCATTCGCGATGTAAAAACATTAAATCAGCACGATGTCTATTTAGTTTTTTTTTTTTTTTTTACGGTATAATAATGTTCCCGTTATTATTTTGTGCATATATAAATAAATGTTATTCTGGTTTGAGAAAATAAAAAACAAAACTATGTCAGATGTTGAGTCTCGTTTTTCTCTTGTACTTTTAGAAGATTAATAAAGACAATGGGTACGACGCCGAGTCGCTATGAAGATCTCTCCAAGAATGCGCATTTGGAGAAGTTTTGCGGCAAGCAAAGCATACTTGCAAACGACCCATTCTGGGACATGTTTCTGTCTTATCACATGCGACCACCCATCACGAGAAACGATCAAATAGAATTGGATTCCCGGTTAGACGTATCCTGTCAACAATTACTTGGAAACAATTTGGCCACTGGTAATTTTGGTACCTTGATACAAGTAGCTCTCATGCGTATCAATGATCTCCTTGCACCTGTTCAGAATCAGAAGTAAGTTTTGCTTTTCTTACTTTTTAGTTACATTATATAATTATAGATTTAATATAGTTTTAAATTTTGGTAATAAAAATGTTTTTATGCGGCTGAAAAAAAAGATGAAGGATTAGAAACATTTATGTGTATTGTATTTACAGTATAATATCGGCATGGCAAACGTACAATGCGCTGTTTGCCGTGAGATGTATTTTGAAATACCTCATCGAGACTGTCGGTGAGGAACAAATGCTAAAGCACATAGAAGCGCCGCAAACGACCGCAGCCAATGAGGCAATGTCTTCTTTTAGACTGGAAGAATTTTTTGAAGCATTGATAGAACTCATTACGGACGTACCTTTGTGGTGAGAGCAAGATTGTTGCATTTGGATACGCGAACTTTCCAATACTTTTAATACAATATTAATAAATATATATTATATGCTTTTGCAGCGATTTTACATACGTGGTCCATTTGGAGGCGATTAATTGTTTATTGGTGTTGCTCTCGGTGCAGTTGTTTTCTCAGACTGCGGCCGAGTACAGTGCCGTGTACAGGATAGCGATGCACGCGCATTCGAGTCGGCACGCGCCTGCCGTTGTATGCACATTGTTGCACAATTTTATTCAGCAGGAGCACGCTCCTCCGGGATTGCTGACGCAACAACCCGGTGGTAGCATTGTATTTAGTATCGCTGGTAAATATATGACAGTATCACAACTTGCCGGACGATCTGTTTACACGTAGGCGTTAATACGAAGCCGTTGTTTTTCAGCTGGATTGTGGAACGTGATAAGAATGGGGATAGGCAGCGGTTCGAAAAATATACAGATCGCGCATAACGGCGCTGCCGAGGACGAAGAGAAAAAGCGCGATATGGAAACTCCGCTCGCTAGTCAATCTTTATTACTTCTGTTAGTTCTGACGAATCATTGTACCGCTACGCAAAATCCGTACAGAAACGCGCTTTTCTCCTTTATAGACATGGAAGGTGAACATAGCAGGTTTTCGTAACGATTGATGTCGTGATGTGTGTTGTAAATAATTTTTTTGTTTTTTTCTTATAGAAAGTGTCCCGCCAGCAAGAGCGTCCGAAATTTTTAAAATTAATTTGAACAAATTATATAACACTATTTGTAAAATACCAAACACAGACGAAGTCACGCTTTTGCTATACATGCTGTTACACAGGAATTCAAGTGTGAAGCGGGACATAATGAGAAGAAACGACATACAATTATTGGCAAGTGATCGCAAAGCATACAGTTTTTTTTTTTTGCAATCATGTCTATAAATTTATTGTTCTCACATTTGAAATATTTGCAGGTAACTCCGATATTACAAATATTATATTATGCGCCGAATAACACGTCGCATCACATTTATATGTCCCTCATCATTCTCTTAATTTTAAGTGAGGATGAAATGTTTAACAAACGGATACATAAAATTGTGAGTATTGCAACAATACAAATAATGCTGTAATGATTTTGATACCAAGTAGTTCTTACATAAGTTATGATTTTTTTTTCAAGATGCTTAAAGGAGTAACGTGGTATACCGAGAGGTCCATAAGCGAAATATCGTTAGGTGGTCTCTTAATTCTGGTTGTGATCCGCACAATACAATATAATATGTTTAAAATGAGAGTTAGTATTTTTTATCTAATTTATTGTTGCGAATCACTTGCAAGCTCATATTGTTTTTTTTTTTTTACATTATAATTAGGACAAATATCTTCATACAAACTGTCTAGCAGCTTTGGCAAATATGTCCGCTCAGTTCACATCGCTGCATCCGTATGTCAGTCAGAGATTACTAAGTCTGTTCGAAACTTTGGCGAAGAAGCATACGAGATTAGAAGCAAAAATTCGTTCGCAAGCTCAGACAACGACTTCTGACAGTACTTGTATTGTTAACGTTAATGGGAACGCAGTTCCTTCTGAAAATCAATCTGCAAATACAGATTTGGTAAATTACAAGATATCTCGCATATAAAAAACAGCTCGATTTTATTAGAAACAGACTCGTTTATCGAGTGCGATCTATTGTTTCAGATTCAAGATTTAACTATACTGGAAGAGGTTCTCCGAATGGTGCTAGAAATTATAAATAGTTGTTTAACGCATAGGCTCGCGCATAATCCGAATCTAATTTACACTCTTTTGTATAAAAAAGACGTCTTTCAGCCGTTTAGAATGCATCCTGCTTTCCAGGATATCGTGCAGAATATTGATTCTGTAAGTTTCCGCTTTTCAATTCATTAATCAGTATTTTTTTTCCCAATATTTTACATTTTGAAGCGCACAGTAATTTAATCTTTTTCCGTAATGCGAGTGTAGGTTATCAACTTTTTCTCTTATAAATTGGAGCAAAAAGATCAATCCCAAATCGGCGTCAGCCAAGTATTAGCTACCATACAGCAAGGAACTTCAGAGTGGCCGCAGGATCGTTTAAGAGTAAGTGGGAAATTTGTAAGTTCGCGAACCCAAGTTCGGAAAGGTTTCAGATAACATTTTTCGCAATAATCTCTTTAAAATTTTATTTCTGTGCTATTCGTAGAAATTCCCAGAGTTGAAGTTCAAATATGTAGAAGAAGAACAACCGGAGGAGTTTTTCATTCCTTACGTGTGGGGCGTCGTTCGTCAGGCAGCGTTATTGCACTGGAGCGCGGAGAACATAAAATTGTTTTCCTCCAATAACGCTGAGACAACAATCATTGTTTGCTGATACTGAGATGAGGGGTGCATTCTACTATAAATATTCAGAGCGGTGACGTAAAAAAATAACAAACTCGTAAGTTTATAAAAAAAAAAACCTGTGTGGACACAGCAAAGATATAAATAATATTTTCGTTCGAATAGCGAAGGAAGATGGAAATTCGAACAAATTTGTATTATTATATATTCCAACAAAGACAGTACATATAAATATTTGAAGTATTGCACGATATCTTCTCTTTAATCAGAATATTGCAAAACAGAACTTTTCTGACAATTTATCGTGTACTTTTATTACGCAAACAAGAACGAAAATTATATTATGATTACTTATAATTATTTTTAATTTTTTTTCTTTTTTTTTAATTTTCGTGTTTTCACAAGATTAAAGTATAAAATTAGTGTAAAGTACATATTTTATATCTTCGGAAATCGAAGCGTGTATCATCTCATTAGCTTTGGGATATGTTATTTATATATTATTAATGATATAGAAACATTATTACATTATTAATGATATAGAAACCAAAGTCACGAAAACTAAAAATGCACGATGCATAATGGAACTGATTGAAATTATTTTGCATTGAGAATACTACTATATCATATTATAATATATTAGATAGTAATTTTGTTAGTAAAAAAAGAATATATATTTATCAATATTCGCAATATGAAGTTACAATATAGTTACAAGTAATATAATTTACGGATGTCTATATAAACTTGAAGACTAAATTCCTTGCAGTGTCATCTTCCTGCGTCTTAGAAACGATTTTCTCCAAAAAAAAAAAAAAAAAGAAATAACTATATATAAATATATATATATAAATATATATATATATATGTAATTCTGGAACTAATATCACGTACCGTTTTTCGAGGTATTAATGTAGGAACAGAATGCAAGATCGAGGCTTTAGTGAGATATATATCTCATATACATATAGTAGCCTAATCGAAGTAGCATCAAGATATAATTTTGTTTATCACGTGTTCGCTCGTGTACTTGTAAATAATTATCAAAGAGCAAACCGGATAAGTTATATAAATTTCTATCAATCTAATTTAAAACATCATATTATATTTGTATAGTATTGCAACTGTTCGAGCTGTATATGTGCAAATAATAATTTTTATTTAATACATCAAACAATAAACTTCTGATATTTATAAATATTTTGCTTCTCTCTTATTTCCTATCAAACAGCACAAAGTTCATTGAAATGTGAAAAAAAAACACAGAAAGAAATCGCAAGGATAAATATGAAGAGGTACGGAAGAGAGAACAGAAATAATTCAATGCCCATTTTTAATCGGCAGGTCATTTAAAAAATGCATAAATACAAGAATAATCCATCGTGTGTTTGATCTCGTTCAAAGAGAATTCACTTCGGGAGACTGCTTCGCAGTGACCTGCCGGTTACACAATGGGTCGATTCACTCGTCGAATGTACATCTTTATTAAACAAATACAGTTGACGTCTTAATGTTATTTATAATGTCGTTATAGATAATATTTCATTTTTCCTAGCCTGTGCAGCGTGTATATGCGGCCGCGCGTGATCTTGTGTTGTGTATGTGTGTAATAGTTTTATCATACTATTGCTAATACTTCATTTTTTCTTGTTTTGAACGATTCTTCTTTCAGTTTGCAGAGTTAACAAGGTAATTTGACGTTTTCTGTGCGTCGTGGTGCAGACGCGCCGAGTAACTCAGTGTGTCACGTTAAAATTAAAGACTCGATTTAAGTCATAAACATTGCCTTAGCCATACGTCACGTTACGGCTTTAAAACGACTGTGCTTAGCATACAGATAGTATTTTTTTTTCTTGTTTATTTATTTAATCATAATAATTAAATTCCTTAACTGTATACTATATCATTACTTAATCTTATTAGTTAACACACAATCAATCTGCGATGGGAGGGAATTTAGTCGGCACTTAATGAGATATTTCATTACGTGCCCCTAGCTAATCTGTAGTTGATTATTTTTTTTTTTTTTTCACTCATTACACCGTTGCCGTGCAATTTACCACTTGCTTTTTAATTTTCAAAACGTCCGATTGTAATCGTTTTATTATTACGCGCGCCATTTCTTCAAGTTCTCGTCTTTTTAGAGCGAGCTTTATATGTACGAGATGTATATGTACGAGAAATAATAACGAGGTCCCGTGATAATGAAGAAAACGCGGTGTGTACTTCATATTGCACACATGCGTGATGATCTTTTTTACGGCTCGACAGTGCTCTAAGCGCTCAATTCCAATATTAATTCCGGAGGAAGGTACCGGGAAAATAAATCGCTCACGAAAATATACACAAAGCAGTCTCGTTAACGAACTTCCATATTTTCGATTTGGATTTGTGCTCCACTAAAATCAATCAGGACTCAATTATAATCGGATCACGTTTTTTTGTATCATATATAACGCACATCAACCAAAACTTCAATCAATTTCGGGTAACAAATAGAAGATAGTGGTAACAAATGCTGTATATTAACAAATTGTACTTTTTGCCCCGTCATTAGAGAAAGAAATTGCACTGCTAAAAAGTTTGCATCTCCGTAAGACAAACGTTTATCTTCTTTTTTTTTTTCTTTCTCTTTGCTGTGCTTCGAAAAAAAAAAGACCAGCTATATAAAAGTGGAGGATCAGACGAATGGCGTTCGCTCGGCGAAGCGTTATAATTTCTCGATTTACACGCGCGCGTGATCGCGCGTCTATACATACACGGTTTCACTGTCGTCGCATCGAGATACGTGAGTGTGTGTGTAAAAGTCGATACGCGTCGGTGGCAGCGGGCGTGTAATATGCGCCGAGAGGAGAACATCCCCCCCCTCGTACCGTCGAATAGACGAGGAGGAAGAAGAGTCCTCCTCCTTCGGAAATTCGGTAAATGTAATCCGGCGTGTGTCGCAACCTCCTTGATTTTTTTTTTTTTTTTTTTTTTTCAGAGCTCTCTCCTCTTCTCCATTTTCTCTCGGTTCTCTTCTAGAAATCCAAAATATTCCTCTGGCCGTTTTAGGCAAACGGCACGTGTATATGCGTGTGTAAGTTAGACGAGAGGGTATGAGACGGGTGAAGAGGAGTATGTATATTTTTATATACGTAAACATACATACGTACACGGGAGTACCTGTGCATATGTATATACGTACATGCTCTAGCTGCCTACAAAATTAGTACAATAGTACATTACAAACTCATACCATTTCTTTCTCTTTACCTCGTTCCTCTTTAATATCGACATCATTTGCAAACAGCTTAGATATATCTTTTTATGTATATATATTATATAATAGTATCATCTAGTTGGTTTTGTTGTTGTTGTTGTTCTGCGTACTCTTCTTCCATTTTTTTCTCGTCGTAATTATTATATATAATAATTTATATATAAGTACATCTTTAGAACAATTAAATTTGTGTGTTTCGAATCGCGTCTTTTTTTTCTTAGTGAGTTCTCGATTATCCAAAGAGACTTTTTAGTTTTCCGATATCTCATACGGAATAGCAAAGTTGCTTTGCGAGCGCTCACATAAATCTTAGAGCGTCTCTTGCTTTACGTTATCTGAATTATAAAGATCTCGTCATCATATTTGAATAACATCGTAAACTATGTACAACTTGGTTTTTTACACCGAGGAAAAAACTATTTTGAAAAAGAAAAGTTTGTTCAAGAAAACTACTCATTTGGTTGATGCTAATAACGTATTTATTTCAAGTATTTAAAATGCCTTATTTTTATTATTTTTTTTAAATTGAAGTATTATACGTTTAAGAGTGTATATAATTTCGAACATTGTGTTTTAATTTAATTTATATTTTAAATTTTACAAAATACTTGCTAAAATCGCAATTTTAATTAGAAAAAACTCTAATTGTTTAGTTTAAAAAAAATGATATATTTTAATTAACGAATGATACTATATGCTTTATGGAAGCAGTATTCAAACACGTATAAAATGTATCAGATATAAAATAATGTAATATGCATATTTATTTAAAATTAAATGCTTTTGAATAACAAATGCTTTAATAAACGATTACTCCCAACAAAAGCAAGAGCAATATTTTTCTCTCATTCAAGGAAATAAATGTACTTGATTTAAAACAACTTTTTTCTTAGTCTAGATAACTCTGGCGTATCAATATATAAAAGAGAAATATATTATCGTGTTACATATTGCTCATTATCAACGTTAAATCATTTAAGTAATATCAAATGTAAATAAAATACTATTATCAGTTCAATTGAATTGAAAAATTCATTGTGTGTCGATTTTATAAAATATCACTTTCCGCCGCGTGTGACAAAACAAAACATATTTCTTTCAGAATATTCAAACAAAAGAGAAGTCTTTCGGTAGAAAAGATTTTTCGAGTATAATAAAAGAGACGGTGAAGCCGGCAAAACACTTATTGCGTAAATACAAGAGATGCCCCCGCATGTATGGTGGTTATCGAGCAAACTTGCTTGCCGCGGAGATATCTTTTCCGCTCCGATTGTTTTTTTTTTTTTTTTTTTTGCACGCTTCCTTCTGACTTTGTTGCGTCAACATCGTGATACACCCGCTTCGAAGTGGGTGGATATCACGATGAATTTGACGATCAAACGAAATAGAAATTTCATCCCTCCTATAAACCCATTGTATAATCCACCACCGTGAACTTACGAACTCTCTCATACTTCATAATTTAAGCATACAAACGCGCGTGTGTACATACATTTACGTAAGCTAATTTAGACACACTTGTTAAAAGGCCAGATCCTTTTCTTGACTTCGCTCGATTATTTCCGCGAAAAAATTTCCAAATTCACTTGTCGAAATATATATCTCGGTTGATTTTTTTATTTCAATAATATAGTGACGTTTGCGATCTTTATAAAATACGAGATTACATTACGATAAGATATTCGCGTTGCACAATGTAATAAACGTCACGTTAGAAAAACTCTAGAAAGAAAAGAAAAAACAGTACAAAAGCAAGCGTACACACCGGTATATTTTGTTTTTTTTTTACGTATATATGTAATATATGTATAAGTGTATATGCAATCTCTGGTGTTATCAGGAACAGATAAACGATTATACACGTCTCTCTCTGTCTTTTTTTTCTTTTTATTATTCTTATAGTCATCGACCTCCGCTTTGGAATAACCCAAATCCTCGATATCGAAGTGTGTATATATATATATATATATATACACATATATATATATATATATTTTATGTATCGCGCGCGAGTCGGAGAAATGCGTAAGAGAGGGTGTATCGTTACGTGTCGAACCTCCCCGTCGCGGAACGGAGAGAGTTATATATATAGGTATATGAGAAGAAAAAGAAACTTGCTACACTCTTCGGGAATCGAGAAACAAACTGCATTTTGTATATGGCAAAGTGGCGTACGTTTCGCGACCGCGGAATTTTGCCGTCGCGGAATCGCTCGTTGACGAAAAAACGTGTTTTCCAAAAAACGTTTCTTTTCTCTCTTTTTTTTTCTTTTTTTGTCGACGAACCCCTTATAAAAATGATATGATATGCTCGTTGGAAAAATAAATTGTTCATTATAGTTCCCTATACTTTGAATATAGATATATCCGTACACGAGTTCTCTTCGGTACTAGGTGCCTCCGCCGAACGATTCGGTATAATTCTAGATTTATACGCAGGACACAGACAAACACACAGACATATACACACACACATACACACACACACACACGGGAGGTGGGATCCGTTCATTACTTCGCGGCGAGTATATATGCGATATCGAATGCGCAGTCGTCGTGTCACCATTTCGGCGACGAAAGAGAGAGAGAGTGCGAGAGAGAGTTAATGTACCTTGCGATGGGATCATTGCACGTGTGTGACGCGTTTTCCGACGCGAAAGACCATCGACAGGCATTGTGTGTCGCGACTCGTGACAGGTCCGCCGGACGACGACGACGACGCGCGTTCCGCGCGGAAACGTCATCCGGCGGGAGCACGACGGCGTCCGTTGAACGCGTCCAATTCTTAACTCCTAAACAGCCCGTTTTACGATAAACGTCTAAAATACAATCGGAACTTTTCGCAATGGCGCGTGTCGGACGTGGGAACTGAAAAAGCGCGCGGCGAATGTAAACAAGTTTACACGATAGAAAAGGCTCTGTTGGTGCCTCGCACGCGCGTGAAAATTCAATCGGAAAATCGCCGTGGTTTTCATGCGTTATTGCAAAAAGTTCTTTGATATAACAATACACAGAGCAGTGCCCGTCGACGTCGACGGGACGACTGACGAAAAAACGCGGTATGAGAGAGATTTGCTATTAAAATATACATACGAGCAGAGAATTCAACACGTGTGTACTACTGCTGCTTAAAAGGCACGTAAAAATCAGTTTTCTCTGTGAAAAGAGCAATTGCACAATATGACGCGTCTTGCGTGTTGGGAAAATAAACGAGAGAAGCATGCTCGATGGCTCCTCCAGCCGCTGCGCATTACTTTAGAATAATCATCTCCTCGAGACGAGACTCTCACCACAGAATAATGAATGGACGCTTGCATATATATATGTGTGTGTATGTATAGAACACGTGCGTGTCGCGCGCACATAAACAGCGTTTTACGATACCCACCGTTAGTCGTTGAACACTTGTAGGAAAATTACAAATTTTTTTTTTTTTTAATTTTCGAAAAAAACCGCGCGAAAGAGAAATTCACGTGTCAAGCCGCGATTCTTCACGTGTCAAATAATTTTGCAATTAATTAGACATGAATATTTATATCAGACAAAAATTACGTAACATATGAAGCAAACCGGCTCGCGCGTAGACTCTTGTCAAATATTTGGTTTCCTTCGAAGTGTTCGTTAAAAAAGACACTTTTCTCTCTGTACGGTCGGTACGCCTCTTCTAAAGGCGGCCGCTTTTCGCATGCGCGCGCGCGCACACACATATACGGATATGATGCTATGCCGATTACTTTAACGTTGAAGCGCTATCATAGGATGCGTGGCAAGTCCTTACTACTGTGTGTTTTTTTCTTCTTTTTTTCTTTTTTTTTCTTTAATCTTCTTGCAGATCAATCAGGAAGGAACATTGTGCAAAAACCGATCGAGAAGGCGTATGTAACGTATGTATTTAAACTTAAAAAGTAAAACTGGAAACTCTCGGGCAAGTATCGTTTTATGGCCCAGGCTCAGCCCGTTTCGCGTGTGCTTTACACCGAAGCGAGTGGTTTTGACTTCATATTCTTACCAAGCGCGTTCTGCCGCCGTGTTCACGTTTTTTTTACCTCGCGTATCTCGCGTATCGCGCGAGCGAGCGCTTTTTTTTTGATCAAAATACGAAAGACACAATTATTGCAAATTACATTCATGAGATCAAATGTATGCGGGCCTTATGTAAAAGAGTTTAGAGAATGAGGAAGAATATAGAGTCGGCTCAGCGCTGTTTCTTCATTAAAAACTACGCTACCGGGCCGTCCTGTCTATTTTATTACTAATAATAATAATAATAATAATAAAATAACGAAAACAACTATCGGTAAAAGTAGCTGGATATAGTCGTAGCGTTAGTACGAGTATAATAATAAAATAGCAATAATCCGTAGGATAGAGTAAAAAGGAGGAAAGATATAGGAGTATAAAAAAAAGTCCCCTTGTCCTACTATACTGCTCTACCAATGATGAGTCAAGAATATAAATTAATTAACTGCCGTTAAATATCCCCATCGAAAAAGAATATTCTCGGCGGAGCTTAAGTATCTCTTGCGTGTATCTCCGATTCTACCAAACATCAGCGACGTGTGTTTTTCGTAGGTAGAAAGAGTTTTAACTATTCGATAAAGCGTCCCGCACTCTTACAGATATTTTTTTTTTCTTTTTTAACCTGGCGCTTAAGACGAGTACCAACTGAATGCCGTTTTTTTTATTTTTAATTACACCGACGACGTCTGTTTGAAGAAGGGGACGGATATAATAGACGATAACGCTCTCGCGTATGCAATTATAGGGATTAAGAATCGTTTTTAGAGAGAATCGATCGAGCGGTATGCGGAGCAGCTTAGAACGTTAAATCTTTTTTTTTTTTTTTTTTTTTTCTATTCTAGATTCTGAAAATTCAAAAGTGTAGTAGTAAATATCCTAATTTTTTAACGACGCGTCGTGATATCTGATGCACGAGGAACAAACCTTCGAGAAATATCGAACAAAACGCGTTCAACACGAGAAATTTTATCCGATAGATAATTATCCGATATTTTTTATTCTCGCGAAGTGAAATCTGCCAATAGCGCGAACCGTTTCGCGTGAAGAATCTTCTTAGCGGAAATACTTCCGAAACACGTTCAAGCGTATTCGGATGTACGATTTTGCGAAAAGAAGCGGCACGCGACCAGTACTCCTCTCAATGCCACGCGAAGAAAGGGGGATGTGTGAATGCTCAGTGTGAATATAGGTAGTGTGATTTAAACGTCACGATGATCCCACTCCAAATCGTGCGGCGAGTTGTGACGGCGGTGTCGGCCGTTGCTGAGTTCGCAGTCGTTTTCACAGTCGGAGCTGTCGAGGTCATCGTCCCGGAACGAACCGTCCTCGGAGTCGGAGCTGCCGGAGTCGTCTACATCTTCGTCCCGTTGGCTCTGGTGGTGCTGATCGTGCTCCGTCAACCTGTCCATTGGGTTTACGGTGATGGCAAGAGCCGAGTCGTCCCAAGCCATCTCCGTTTCGGCGGCGAGTTCGTCGCCGGCGGATCGTCGTCGCTTGGCCGCTCCACGAACTCGTGCGGCGCCTACCACTGCCATCAGCAGCAGGAAGCCGATACAGGCTGCGGCGACAATGGTCACGGCGTGGCTGCCGCTAGCGCCGCCGACGGTTCTGCTGCCTTCACGAAGCGCGGCCGTTGCGTATTCCTCCATCAGATCGGCGTGATGCGGCGAGAGCTGCGCGTGACCCGGTGCCGGCTCGACGATCTTGGCAATGGGTGGTTCCCCGGGCGTTGTATGAGGCAGAACGGTCGTCTTTTCTTTGGGATGAATAACGGCCAACGTTTGCACGTACTCGTTGCTGGCGAAACGTCCGCTCAGCTCGGAACAAGTGAGCTTGAAGACACGATCAAGATAATAAGCCGGTTTACGGTTCGTGTACATGATGAGACGAATGAGTTGCTGGTAATTGTAAGGCGAATCCGCACCCGAGAGAACGACACCGTCGCGGTCGACGCGGGCGGCGATGTCGTGGAATGAGAGCAAAGCGTCACCAGGTAATCCAAGACTCTCATGATCGGGATTGAGGCTCGGATAAACGCTGACGGCGCAGGCGTCCAGTCGGGCAGCCGATCCTGCGGTGACGCGCGCGTCCGGGAACACGCGAACTCCCAGCCGGAAATCTGCGTATTCTCTGGCTACATAGCCAGTACCGTTAACAGTAATACCTGGTCGAGGAGGAGGCAATACAGTGACGTAAGATTGCACGGTCGGTATCGGAAGAGGTGTGTCCTCGCTGCCCTCGCAGACAATCGTCGTGTCGAGACGGAAATTACGACGACCAGGTGTTGGGAAACGCCGAGAATTCGAATAGCCGATGCGACGTAGCAGAGTCTCGACGTTCGTACGATTGTCGCCGTCGATGCGCACTTCCGTTAAGTCGGAGTTGGTCAACAATTGAGTACCCGGTTGCAATAGGTCCATCGGCGGCACGTGGATGCCTTCTTGGCAACGTCGCAGACACGAGAGCACTTCCGGTTTCTCGTTACGACCGACCAGGACGGATAAACCGGCGAGATAGCCGCGGAAGTGATGTTTGGTCTTGTTTTCGGATCCCTGCCAGCAAGCGCCCACTACGAGAGTAGTGTTGACGCCTTTGGCAGGATGTAGAGGCCAGTCGTCAATGACTTCGGGATTTTTCTCATCGGCGCGCCATTCTTCACCGTCGATGTACAGGCCGACGCGTGGGAAATCCACCTGGATCGCGTAATGATGCCACTTGTCGTCGCACACCTGGCCGATCTTCCAACGCCACTCGGCAGCGCGGAAGATATTGGGATCGCCCTCGGAGAAGTCGCGTCGCAACAGCAAAATCAATCTGCAGTTCCTTATGAACAGGGCGTAATGGTGCCTATTCATCTCTGTAATTGAAACGGCGCGACGTTAGTTGCACCTTTCGCGACATCGCCCGCGCGTAATAAAGTGTAGAGAGACGCGCGCGCGATGGGCGTTAAAGCGCGAGGAGGATAAAATTTCATGAAAGGCGACAGAAAGGATGGGACACACGAAAGGACGAGAGAGAGATAGAAAGAGAACGTTTATAACGGAGGATTACACGTTGCTCGTTGGAGACCGGTTCGGTATTTAGAAAGATTTGTATTTCCGAGCGGCTGGATAGGTCGGATATTTGAGTTTAACTCTTCGCGCGAGAGGCGAGCGAATGCGAGCGACGACCTATATAAGCCGCGCGCGCGACCTGATTTCTTGCCAAAATTCATTCTGCGCAAGGATTAAGCCGCTTTGTTCGAAACTTCACTATAATACCCCGGCGTTTCCGTGAAGTGAACGTGTATATTTTAACGCTCGAACGCTCGCACTCTCGGCGCGATAATGTATTCCGCTAACAACACACAGTCGGCGAACGTCGTTTGATATCAGTACGAGCGCTTATCAGCTTGTCTAAAATGATTATTATCTTTTCAAGATATAAAGGGAAATGGCAATTACAAAGTTTTAGCCCTCTCTCCTCCGTTTTCTTGCCGTATAAAACCAATTAGGATAATTGCAACAGAGTGGTAAACGTCAAGAATAACGTAGTTGACTTGAATAGAGTTAGTTAGTTTTCATGATTTCCGTGCTGGTTTGGTCACATTGACAAAAGTAATCGCAAAATTTATGACTTTTCAACGGAATTATTCAGACAATCTTTCCTGAAAAGTTTTCTTGTAGATCATATAAAACATAAAAAGAAAGTAATAAATAATACGTAAAAATATGATTCTATCTCACTCAAAGAAATAATTATATCTTTCTTCTTCAAACTCTCTACGTTGTTTCATTATTTACAAAACAAACAAAAAATAAAAAAAATAAAAAAACATTTTCTACAGTCGCCAAACTAATAAACTTGAATTGTACATAAAAACTTACTGTGATCGTCGGCAGCGCACAGGATGTGCTCTTTGATATGCGGATCTTGTCGCGGACGCGGTCGGTGTTTCACCCAGACGCCGATGGTAAACTTCTGCGCTAAACTGTGTTCGAGTACATCGTTCGGCACGATAGCGGCCGAATCCACTCCGTCGAACTCGAAAATCTCATCCGCTTCTCTACCTTCGTCCCTCGATAAGGACGCCGTCCAGGAGGTCGTAGGTCCAGGTGTAGGCAGCAGATCCACGCTATCTCGCGAAGCGCCGCACAACTTTCGCTGACTGCGAACCCCGTAAGTGTCGCGGTCGCAACCTTTGCCGATGTGGTCGGTCGCCAGAGTCAAGGTGGCGCGCACGTTGCGCAAGATGCAGGGCGCGTCGCAAAGATCAAGTCTCGCCGACGGAAGAAGAGGTTGCGCCCCAACTCCAGCGGCGTAGTCGACCCTCTCGGGAATGCCTCGCCAACCGGGGGCGCACACGCGGTTCACCTTGACCGTCACCATCGCCGGCGCGGATTGCTTCATGCCGCAGTCATAGGCGACCACGCTGAGGATGTAGTTGTGCGATCGCTCGTAGTCAAGCGGCTCGGTATTGCGAATCGCACCCTCATTGTCGATGATGAATGGCTGATCGGCAGTGAGAATCTCGTATTTGCACACGTCGCCAAATTTCGGCGTGCAGTCCCGGTCGGACGCCTCGACGCGCACCACCTCCTCGTAAAGGCGACCCTCGTCCACGGTGCTGACGTAGGCCGGTTGCAGGAACTGCGGCGCGTACTCGTTGACGTCAACCACAGTAATATGAACCGTGGCGCTGGAATTGAAATTGAAGTATGCATACACACATGTGCACATCAAGGTCTCTCACTATTTCTCTTCTCGGGGCGATGTGTGTGTGAGAGAGAGAGACAGAGAGAGAGAGAGATATGTAGATATGCGCGCCGCGTGACAAGACTTAGAGAATGTCGGATTCTCCGGATTCCTGCGTGTTTCTCCATTTACGTGCACTCGCAATTAATACTGTCCTTATTTTGTTGGATTTGCTAAAAATACGCGAATCTGTTTATTTTTGATAAGCCGTAAAGAGAAGTTTAAAATCGAAGCGTTGTAAATATATACATACATATATATATATATATTTAAACGCGTCGTCGGACCATCACGGATTTAAAGGATTTATATTTGCAGCCATCAAGAAGATTATTTTGACTATTTTCAGGACGAATTACAGCCGAGGATTTGCGCTCAATCCGCAATGGATTTAAACGAGCTTATTTCCAGTTATAAAGCTTGCTTTAATAACTTCCACGTCAAATGGAATAATTAGCTGCTTTTTGCTGCTCATAGATATATTATCTCCGTAATGAATCTAAACGATTTTTGTAAGTAATGGGAATTTGCACACACCGCAGTCACTCTCTCTTTCTCTCTCTCTATCTCCCGTGTCTATATAACGTACAAAGCGTTGTTGGCGCACACGTGCTGATACAAGAAACATTTTAACAGTTGACATAACACGCGTATGCATTATTCCGCGCACGCCTGTTGAAGACGAAATCTAAAAAAGAATCACGATCGAGCAAATACTGTCGATATACTTAATGTAAAACATTTATATGACAGCGTCCGTTCTGGAGCGGGAAATTTAATATGTGGCGTATAACGGAAAAGTCAATAAAGCAATACCGCAGAGACCGTATACGTATCGGGCGCAAACGATTGAATTTCGACTCGGAATTGTTTCGTTGCCGAAAACAGGCGTTGAAACAACCGGCCAGTTCGAGTTACACACGCGCGGAATCTATTCGCGTTTGAAATATTAGACACGGCGAAATCAAACGATGCGACGCGCGTTGAAAATCCGGCGAACACTGCATCGTCGTGCAGTGTTGTACAGCGGTAAATATACTCGAGAGTCGCGATCGGCTCTCTCTTCCGCGGTAATGGCGCGATAATACACTGGGCTTGTGTATGAATATCCTAATTAGAAATTACGACGTGCATTATCGGCGAGACTACGGTGCTCAGCCACGCGATACGTCGGCCGATCGATATCGCCGCTGTAATTCCACTGCCGGCCATCGTATTAAGTAAGTAAAATTTCGTTGTTACGTGACTTCTATCATATGAAAAATTCACCGTGAAATCTTTTATATCAAAGCACATCGTGCCGCACGTATATACGAGGATGTTTCACTATTGATCTGCCATTCGTTGGCGGCGATTCGGCGAGGTGAGAGACAGAGAGAGAGAGAGAGAGAGAGAGAGAAGAGAGAGAAAGAAATTCCGAGAGACGAGTTTGAAAACAGGCGAACGTCGTATCTACTATACTAGATTTTCACAGTATAAATTATCTCTCCAATTGGCTTATCCTAATTTTGTCCAGGATAACGAAAAATTTATTGTGTCCGTTATCTAATGGTACCGACATTATGTTCCTGACACGCAAAATTAACATTCCACTTTATGTTCCACGATTCCATTTGTAAATTAAACTTGTATTTGTCCTCGTGTAATGCAAATTATTATATAATTATTATATAATCTAAATTATTAAAAGACATAAAATATAATATATTTTTATACGTCTCTCTACATAAAAATTTTCATCATTTTCTCTAAACCAGAATTTATCCGTTTTTTTTTTTTTTTTTTTTTTTGACGCTTTCAATTTTATTCTCTCTTCTTTACGTTAAAATTTCTTACGAAGAAAAATTTCCTTTTCTTCGATTTATATCTTATTAAATCTTATCATTGCGATAGTGCTTTTTTTTTCTAAAGAATGCACATTTATCGGGAACCGAAGATTGAGAGCGAACGGACGCGAGGGAATAGGCGGCGGTAGTTATCGCTTCTAGAGAGACGGGCGTGAAATCGCGCAGTCTGGTAATGAGAAAATTTGTACGCTCGATGCCGGAAGTTATTTCCTCATTTAGTCAATACACGTCGCGCGCGAACAGTAGCGTGCGCGCGATGCGCCAACGCGAGCCAGAAAAATTGGTATTGTACTGGCGCGACGCGCGATCCGATGACCCACATTTAGAGATGACTTATTACGACTTTAACTGCAGATAAACACAGGATAAAGACGACGCGTTTTCGATGTAATTCAGTGATGTAATTCATACGAGTGTCTTGTCGCTCGTTAGCGGTTTTTCCGAAATTAACAAACGTTATACTGTGTGTCATCACAGTATTAAATATATAATTAGAAATGTGTATAATCAAACATAAAGTAACGCCGTAACAGACACAGACACGGTGAAATGAAATATTTAAATCCTTCGAGAAATGTAAATGAATCCGTCGCCGTCTCGGCAGCGCCTGTTATCTCAACACCTTTTTCAGCAGAAGTTTCCTTCCAGTTATCTAAGTACGCAGTAAAAAAAAAAAAAAAGATAACCGTGCGCTCTGTATGAAGAGAGGCGCGACGAGGTGCAAGTGTAAATTTTTAGCTAGCTTATCTGAGTGCCGAGGGCATCATACGATACGGAACTTTTTTACTTACTAAAGCAGTCGCGTGCTGTGTGAACCGGGACTTGACTCTCGCAATTATAAACTTAGGTATAGTTCTCTTCCCGTATCGTGTCCATTCCGCTCTACTTTCGTTAAGTTTATCCTTATCTCGGAGAGTTTCTCCGAATAAACGCGCTTCCTGCATTACGCGGCAAATGGGAAACACGTAATAAAAATTCACGCGACTGTCTGTCGCATGAAGGTGACGACAGAGGATGTTGATGATCCAATGAATTAATATACGTAAGAAGAAGTGAAGAGAGGGGCGAACGCGAGAACTTACTTCTCGGATTGCGCCCCGTTGCAACCGACCGCGGCGATGTCGAACTTGTAATTACGGCGTTTCTCGCAATTCAAGACTCGGAACGCTCGCAGCTCGGCCATCCCCTTTTCCTTCAGAACGATTTCGAACGGCGCCTCGCCGTGATGCTTGTTTGCGATGCGGAAGGAGCAAACTTTCGTTCCCAGGGCGCGGATCTGCGGTGTGACCTCGACCAGAGTTTCGTTCTCCTTGACCAGGCCATGATATCCGCTCTCGAGGCTCTCCAAATCCAGTCGTGGCGCTGCGAACATATACGTGATATGACTAATCAACACCTCTGCGAGAGCCGACGTCTTCCTGTTTTACGTGGAGACGTGCGGAAGTGGAAGAAAAAGACCGCGCGCGCGCGCGAGCTCAGTTTTCAGTTTCGCCATTTCTACGACGAAGTCTGACGGCAACCAAAGCTCCTCACGTTTCTCGCGGGAGCTTACAGTTAGTTTTTCACTTCGTTTTGTTTTGTTTTTGTTTTTTTTTTTTTTTCCAACGAAGATGGATGCTCCGATTTCGCCAACTTTATCTCGAGAGACGAATAGCGCGTCCACGGTGAATCTACTCGTCCCTCGGTTTTAAAACGCACGGGGGCGAAGAGGAGAGATCGAAATCGGTATTGAAGCCAATTCGCGCACGAATCTACATAAGCGTTATGGGCATAAGCATATCATATTCCGGTCAATAAAACCCTCGAAGCGCGCAATGCGTTACGTTCATGCCGAGAGCTCTGCAATGAAATTCATGCTATGAGTTTCATTGGCGGAGACGCTTCTGCGCGCTGTGTTTATGTCGTTATGTAAATTCGTGTGCTTTTCTCGAGCGGTGTGGATTTCAGATTTTGTGCTCCCATTTTTAACGAGGCGTTAAAAATTAATTGATCAATTTAACGTTGGTTGCGGAAAATTTCGTTTAACATGTGTCGGCGCGCAAATAAAAGTCGGCGAAATCTACCATCGCATGTGTAACACAAGAGAACTTTTTAATTAAGCGGCGCGAGCAATATTCGGCGCGCGGTTTTCAGCAGCGAGGAGGGGAAGAATTTGAAGTTTCGGTGAAAATGGGTTAAGTGAAACAAAAGGGGCAGCAGCTCGTTAACTCGTTGTCAACTTTCTTCAACATACGGATAATGAGAAAAGCGTTAAACAACTGTAGCGTAGGGATATGGAGGAGAGAGAAAAACGTTTGTGTTCTCGTTTGCATCTGTAACGGTGGCTCATAATTATGCTGTTAATTACTGACGCTGGCAGTTTGAGCTAGTAGTCAACAACTAATATCCGTGTTTCCTTCATGTAAGCTTCTTGACACAACACTGTGACCTAGAACTTCCCCAGGACCATATATGTATATAAGAGCTTCTGCGAACGAGAGAAGTTGATTTTGAACAAAAATGTACACAAGTTCGGAAAACTCAGAGAGTGAGAGAGAGAGAGAGAGAGAAAAGTTTTTTCCGAGTACTAGTTTTATAAATAAGTAAAAATGGAACAAAAACTTAGCTAATTAGACCGACCAGTATAATTTTGAGATTTTATTCGCGAGATTACAAGGTTTTTTTCAACCGTTCACTTCCTCATTTTAAAACGAAATTTTAGTTTTAAACGTTAAATTATTAGAGCGAATTGTGAATATTAAAAAATACTATAATATTTTTCGAGTAATATAATTCACTTTTTTCGAGAAAGATTTGTTTCAAAAATTGTTACACGTCGGATTTGATATACTTCATACAAAAGGAATTCCACGGAGATTCTTGAAGCGAAAATTGGGCAGTGTGTGAAAATTTGATTTGCAACAATTTGCTTCCCGTTCTAAACCGGTGAATTTATTTCGCTAGCACCAGATTTCCATATTTTCGCGACTATATAATTCGGATGTTAATGCGAGCATATTTTAAATGAACAACGAGTAATTATTTATGAGCGGCCGCTTTTGATCGTGAAGTGGGAGTCAATTATGAAACGTATGCATAATATGGTTTTCGATTATCTCGCAATTATCATCACAAGAGACGTCAAAGCTGACATTTTGCTGCCGCCTATAAAATATAATCACTTACATATGTATATTTGCGACTTCTTATGATTATATCCCGCTAATACGTTTGTATACCGCGCAAGTATTTGTATAGTCAATATATAAGGATAATTTTCGTGTCTCAGCAACATCACAAATAACACTACTTAAAAGTGAAGTTTCTAAGAATGCAATCGATTTATTATTCGCCCGTACGAAACAATTTGCAAGAAAAACATTACAAGATACATCTCCCTTTCTTAACACGTCAAAATTTAATTTTTTATTATACTAATAATAATAATAATAATAATAATGTAAGATATTACTGAATTTGAAAAAAAGCTTATTACAAATGGCACCGTTTTAATTAAACCACTCGCGCGGGTCTTCTTCAAACTTGGTCGTCTCATTAGAATTATTCAGTTCGATCGGCGGAGACATCTAATTTCAGCATCCGATAATTACCGTCGCAATCGTTAATTAACTGTGCGAAATATACTTTGACGTATACGGCGTTATCGTACCGGAATATCGGAGCTGACGTTGCCTGAAATGCATTCAATTATCGCGACATGCAACCGCGGGATGAGCAATAAAGAGAGAGAAGATGTATATATATACATATATATATATATATGTATATATATATCGCTAGTTTTTGGGGGAAAAAGCTCGGAAATATTATGAAACACAATATCGCTGTGTGTATATCGTCGATGACGGGAAGCGGTCCTTCTAATCTTAGTCAAAGAGAGAGAGAAAAAAAATTTTCCGGGGTAATTAACTCGGCCCTACGCCGAGGCATCCAAATATTTTTAACGCGGTAACACGATATCCTCCTCTCTTCTCTCGGCGATGGGACGCGCCGAGAATATTAGATTCACATCACTTCACTTTCGTCAGCCCTTGCCCGAAATCAGTCTAATTTTACCCCGGTTTCCTCCCGAATGTGATTCACACGTTAGTTTGTTATTCCGACGAGAGCATGACTAACACCGTCATTCGGTGAACGATCGTAATCGAGCCCCGGATAATTGACTGAGGGGACCCTCTTTCTCTCTCTCTCCCTCTTTGCGCGAAAAGTGCATTTAATTAAGCAGATAAAACCGCGTAAGGCTTCTTAAATATCATCGTGCACGCGTGTACGGTGATGTAAAAAATTCAAAGTATTATTTTTAAAAGCGCAACGATAATTCTGTACACATCTTTCTCAATAACGTAACGCGAACGTTTTGATCGAAAGCAAACGGGAATATAAAAGATCTAAATTGTTAACCGACGAAACGTATATATATCGCGCAAAGTGCATTGTCACGTACTGTAATACAAAGCCGTGATGTCCGCGTGTAATATAAAACGATCGATGCGGTGATTCTTCATCTGGATATTATTCCGTTCGTTTATCAACGCGCACTCTGTTTGGTCTATCATCGCACGTATTAACGTCATCCATCTTTTTGTTTATATCAGGTGCGAGTCTCCCGAGACTGCAGAAAAACCCCGCAGAGCCGACCTCTCTGCCAGATGCGACGCGAAAAGAGAACTACGTTACACAGACGAGCGAAGGAAGATAAAAGAAAAAAAAAAAAAAAAACAAGGCGGAGAGTGCCGCGTATTTCTCCCAATGGCGAGCGAAACCTCGGTGTGTCGCATCGAGACGCATCAGCATTTCGAAAATTTTATCGCCGTGTCGTTCGCTCGCGCAAACGCGCGAATAAATTTCGCCGGAGTTTTGCATAACTCAGCTATTTTCGGCGTTCGGTGAATTTTGTTTTACATTAACAAGAAACAAGTGTGAGAAATTTTTAGATTTTAATGAACATGTTTGCGCGCAACACTGCGCAAAACAATTAATTAACCATTTAGGACACATATTTCAAAAATATATTGCGTTACTACATCTATACACAAATTATGAAGAATGTAAATGCAAACATCAAAATTAACAATATGCCGGTCAATTGATTCCTCACAGAGTAAAAGTAATTTTGCAAATAACATGTTTCACATTTTGTTGCTCGTCCACTGTGCACACAAGACTTAAAAGAACGAATTGATTTCGATGGAAATGCGGAAGACCCGAAAGATGTCAAGGACTCCGCTCCGAATTTGTCCGTCGTCCACGACACCTTTTTTATTACGTCACGCGTCGGCTATGTAAAACCTGTCAGGGGACTCGATATCAACAAAACCGAATGCGGTCTCGACCCGGGAGTGCGGTAGATTCCCCCCGACAGATTTCTTTCTCTCTCCCCGTGACTCTTCTCCCGTGATCTCTCGTGGCCGATTTCTCGTATTTTCGAGACCCGTGAGCGAAAGAGGAACAAAAAAGAAATCACCCAACAAGCGGAGGGTTAATAGCCGTCTTTCTTTTCTCGCCCGTTTTCACGCGACGGCAGCATATCGACCGGGTGGGCGCAGTGCAACGCTTAACTCGTCGTCGTTGTCGTTGTCGCGCGACAACGCGAAATACAACGAGAGACGTATCTACTAGAGAGCGAGAGAGCGAGAGAGCGAGAGAGAGAGAGAGAGAGCGAAAAAAAGAGAGAAAAAAAAGAGAAAGATAAAGAGAGCCCATCACGCACGCACGATGAAGAAACGAAAATCGCCATAACAGTTTCGGCGGGCCGCAGGTGCGATCCGTCCGTTGCACCTGCGAAACCGCCGCGGCGCCACGACGTCGTCGTCCCCGAAGAGAACCGTCGGCGGACGCGCATATGCGATGCGGTGCGTGTTAACGCGCTCTCCGCGTCGCGCTTACGTTCAGGTAAGCCAGGAGAATGAATGTAGGGCACGTTGACGCGAGGAAAAGAAACGAGAGAAAGGGACGGCGAGTCACACCGCGACTCACCTCCATGATCGTTGCCGAAGGAGCTCGACGGTGTCGACTCGAAAGGCGACCCGATGCTCGCGTGGGTGAGTCCGACACACAGCAAGCCCAGCAAGCCGCAGAGCATCGTTGTCGCTCGCGGTAGCATATTTCCTCGACAGCGAATCCTCCCGTCGCCCGTCGCCGTCGTTCTCCTTCTCGTTGTCGTTTTCGTCGTCGGCGTCGTCGTCACGAAACGTATCGTAATCTGACTATCCGCGCGGCGTGACTTACGCACCTTTACTACGCGTCCTTTGCGTTTATCACACTCTCGCGAGTCTCTCCAGCGGCGGTATCTCACTCGCGCGCGCACTCTCGGAGAACACTAACGCTTTTTAAAGGAGCATCGCTGCCTAACTGCACGGTGGGACGGACTTCTGTCGTGCGCGCTCTCGCTCGTTCACACACCGCACACACAATCGCGGAGTCAATATTTGAGCGGAATATCGATTTGCCGAGAGAGAGACGCCAGTGCCGTTTCTCGTCGCGATGCCCCGGAGCGGCGCTGACTGCCACCTTAAACCCCGTTCGCACGGTTTTTCCCGAACACGGAAATAAAACGACGTTTCGTTCGCGCTCTGCGCAGTCTCTGGATCGAATATCAAACGCATTGCCACGGATTTTTCTAGAATTACTTGACCGATTCTTATAGGCGACAAATTTTAACAAGCGCGACGTGGAACGGAAAGTGGTAACTTTAAATCTCATTTACAGTTAAACTCTCGGCCGGAGCAGCCGCCATTTTTAAATCGTTTATGCGCGACGCGCGTGGATTTAAAAAACAAACTATGTATATGCATAAAGTATTGCTTAAAAAATTCACACATGGTAAAAATTCATTTATTTATTGAGAAAACTAAATACTCTTTATTTATATCACACATGGATAAAAACGTTGAGTATAAAAAATATATAAATCTCTTTGATATAAAACTTTTAAATATTTTATCAAGTTACGCGTTACGTTAAAAAAGACCCGTATAACGAGACAAAACGCTATTTATATTACAGCTTATTTTTACACGACTCTTCTCCGTAAACAAACTTGAATTCTGCCTCATTTTCTTTATTATGTTCAAAAAAAACTTTAATTATCTTAGCTACCTCTTTATCATATTCAAATCTATGCTTTATTGGCGTCGCCTCTCGAAATTCATCCATTGTAATATCAGATTTATTGATTATCTGGTTGTGTGATAAGTTAACTTCTTTGGGATAAAAGGTATCTCCAGGCAGAACGGACACCATACCGTCCTTTAGATGTATGTGCACCTAAAAAATTAATTTGTATTGCCGTGAGATATTATTAAATATTTTCTTATCTTCAATCTATATATGTCAGTTTATACATCATTCAGTTTTATATACCGGTAAATATAACTGCACGCCTTTTTCACATTTCATTGCAAACTCTAACAGACCATCTATGTCCTTAAAGTTAGTTAATCTTGTAATTTCATAGTGTTGTGGCGGCGGCAATGCAAAATCCTTCGAAGACATAATATTCTCCGGGTTTTCCCACTGCGTTTGTTTCCAGAAATTAATTCTTTATAAATGAAAAATACATACATGTACTTATCATCAGAGATCACTTTTAAATGTCTTACTTTTAGATCTTGCAGCTCGCTGGCTTGGTACTCAGCATGCGGCATATACGGCATGCAAGCTAGGTAAAAGATAGTGTCAAAGCGTTTTTTAAATATCGTAGGTGTAATCCAGTTGCCCCATTCATGCAACGCCCACAAGTCCGGATAGCACTTGAACTTTTCGCAGAGAGTGATAAACTCCTTGGCGTCGTTGTGGACTTTGTTTCGCCACAATTCTAATTCACTCTTGGGAACTAAAAATTTAAGTACGTAAAAAAATGTCTATGACAAATTGAATCGACGTGCATAATTTTTTTCTCTCACCTGACATCTCTTTAATCCAATTGGAAGACGCCGCAGCGTCTCTCTTGTGTCTACACATTAACACTCCACATTCTTCAAAAGTTTCGCGAATCGCCGTGATGCGCAACGAGATTTCCCTCGGTAATTCGTTCGGCCTCGGTTGAAAAATCGGTGTCACGATCTTCGGTCTCAGAGATGCAAAACTATTGTCGTCGAAACCAAAATTGGCGAAGAGCTCGCGCCATTTCAAGTCAGCGTCGCTGGGATCTATGGCACCGCCCGGGAAAACGTATGTACCCGCGTAAAAACTCGAGTTTTGATGACGTTTTAGACATAGCAGATTATAGTTGTGCTGAAAGTATATAAATTGTTTTTTTTTTTTTAAACAAATCCACCATAAAAAACAGGTGATATATTTGTCAATAAATATATTTTTTCAATAACATGTTGTGACTTATGCGTGTATAAGTAGATTCTGATGCGCTTTGCAAAAACTTGACGTAGCAATAAACGAAGGATTTACACAATAAGATACGGCTGTTCGATTATATTGACGTCATTAAAGGCGATTTTTGGCGATAGTTCGAGTGACTTCAAATTATAGTTTAGTACACTTTGGTATATGTACCATACGATCGCCAAAAATCGCTTTAAATGAAAGCGATTCGACCTTGAACCCGTACCGATCGATAATAATTAGTACGACGAAACAAAATTTGAAGTTGGTCGTATGTCACGTGGTTATGTAACAAAAAATGACGAATGACTTTGCAGAGGCATAGATCGCAGCATTGTGTGTGAAATACAACATTTATTTTACATATTATATAAAAAGAAAAGAATCGCGTTTCTGTAACTAGCGTTTGTTATTGATAAAAATTATCTGTTATCAAGATATAAAATACACGCGAAATCCTTCTTTTCGTCATACTTATTGTCGGAGTAGTAGACTGAGAAAGGTATCGATCGATATTGTGGTTGGTTACAAACGCTACTTACGATTGTTAGCGATGCTGTGTGATTGTACTTTTGTGCGTTGCTCGCTGCTAGTATCAGACTCGCTGCTTCTCGCCAGGGTTTCATTTTTGTGTGCGCAATGATTTTACATGTATATCAATCAACTCTCTCACGTACTCTTTTACAAGAGCACAGAATTACATACAATCTTGACAGACTGCGTTCGGAAACGTCATTTGTGTCTATAAATTTTCTTTATTGCTCATTAAATATAAAACAAAGATGGAATGATGACGCTTGTGCGTACAGTAGGGAGTCACCATATCGTGCGGCTCCAGGGGAAGTATTTCTCGGAAATTTCTTCTTTAACTGCTCCTATTACTGCGCGCTCTTCTCCTTCGATCTCGGACCGTTGGCGGAGACCGAAGAAGAACGGCGCGCGATAGTATAGAGCATCCAAAGAAGAAATTCCCGAAAAATATTTCCCCTGGAGCCGTACAATATAGTGCTCCCTACTGTACACAAGTAGTGTTCCCAAACGTGGTCATAGTGTTGACGCTAGTTGTTTTCTGTTGATTATGTTTGAATCTTGATACTTATCAGTCTAACCTCAGTGCTGTGTCTATCATTACATTCTGATCGATTATGTAATTTTATATAAAATTGTTTTTTTTTTGCTTTTATTGGTTTCTACACATTGGATTCCGCGAAATTTTGCGTGCAGGAATCTCACGCAATAATAAAAATACTTTATACATAGTTTTGCTCGTCACATAAGTGTTCATCATGATAATCAGACGATTTGTTCCAATTTTACACGCTGAGAAAATAATTATCAACTGACATACAAATTAAATTATTCACACGTTTATTTGTACATTATAACAGTATAGATTCACAGTTAAGTACAATTTTTTAGTCAGATAACATCGAGCGTAATTTTAATAAAATTTGTCTAAACACGCAACACACGTTAAACTACGTTTTCTCCTTTATGTTGTCCTTCGTTTTTCCTGTCGCCGCGATCATTAATTCGTACAACTGACACACTTGTTCGTCCCGCAACTTTTCGAGATCCTCCTCCTTGAAATGTTTGCCCAGCGGTTTTCCCGTGTGAGGACCTTTCAACCCGAGTTGCTTGGCGAGAGAAATCGCGTAATTCTATATATTAGAGAGAAAATTTATACACAACATTGCATTCCGTCGGTCGCGAGCGAATTTCGTAGAGCGAACGGCTCTATCGACGGCGAGGTCGAACATAACCTTCAAACCTCGTCGAGTGCTCGCTCGGATAATTGACGTGTTGTCAACTTTGTATGTACTCACGGTCCACTCGTGAAGAAAAATAATCGCCTCGCTCTCCAAACATTTCTTGTGTCTACGGAACTCGTCGCGGGCATAATCGTTGCCCAAGGGTTGAATTTCGATCGGCAAACCGCGGTGTAACCTCAAAATTGTTTTGTACAGTATTCTAACACGCTGCACGTGTGTTCGAGAGGCGGCCATGACGTGTGCAACTCACACAAGTTCGCGCATACAGATATATGCGTATCACATTTATTTCCCGCAAATATCATTACGAAGTTCTGGCGATGTAATTTGTAACAAAATCGCTTAATTTGGCATGTGAACAATGATTAAGTGAATTAATAATTTATTTTTTGGAAAAAATTAGCGTGATTTAAATTACAACGGTAAATAATAATTCAATATAAAACAAAAATAAAGCGGATAATAATACATAATAATTAAAGCGGCTTGTATAAACATATAAAAACATTTAACAAAGAAAATTTATTACATATTTATCATAATACGTGCTCAATAAACCAAACAATTCAAGCACGTTCATAAATTTGGTTTTTTTTTTTATTTGATGGTTTAACAACTTACATGACTTATAAAAGTGTGTGAGAAATGCACATAAATGTATCATGCACTTTAAAACAAATCCAATTCTAAAAACTATCCAATCTGTACACACGTATATATAGATTTAAGTACTTAACACAATATACACATTCGCACGAAACAAAATTCCCGACAGATCGCGTAACACATTCTGTACGTTTATATATATATATCTTAATTTATACACAAAATACACCCGTCAGTTTCAATCCCAAATGAACACGAAACGTTTCTCTCCTTACTTAGAATGATCCTTAATTGGCACGTTACTACTGGCGCTCCTGCTTTCTTGCTAAAACTAGTTATCTTCTGGAGATCTAGCGTCTTGAATTTCCTACACAATATATAAACAAACATGAGTTACAAATGAGATGTGACGAAACTGATGTGTACACACACATGATTTTGTAAACCTTATTTTAAACATATCTGTTATTGAATTATTATTAAATTAAAGTTACTTGTATTATTATTAAATTATACATATTATATGTATTATATATATTATTAAATTATACATATTATACGTATTATTATTATTATCAAATTACATCACATTTTACTAGAATATAAAACCAGATTACATCACATTTTACGCAGATAAAAAATCACGTAGGAAAATAGAATTTTTGAATTAAATAAACTACTTTCCCGCGTTCCTTACCCTGTTTCTTTTATTTCCGTACTTGGACCAGAATGTGACCCGACACGTGGATTTTTGTCCAGTTTGCTTGTTGAAGACCGAACACGTCGAGAACGGTGGTGAATATAGATGAAGAGATACCGCGGGATTCATCGAGCTCGGATTTTCCACGCGATGTAGACCCAGCGAGTCTTGAACGAAAATGTGAAAAGATATCGTTTCTCAGAAAGAAATTGTATAGAAAAAAATATCGCATCTCATCCGTGATTAATACCATTTATAAAAATATATATTTTTTTAAAGAAATTTTTGCCGCGATTATTACGGGATTTATTTATTTGGTTACAAGAGTGTGATTAGCTTTAATTTTTTAAGATTCGTACCGTTGATGTAACAAATTTCGTTCGTATCGAGCGTGTTCCTCCCAAGTTCTTTGAGCTCTTGCATACCATTTTCCATTTCAGACTTTTCAGGCCAAGCGTATCTCGTCTAAAAGCAGCGTATTTTAATATCCCGATTTTATATTGCAATATGCATTACATTATTAGACTTTCAAATAGTTTGGAAAAAAATTACTTACCTCGCACAGGTTTCCTTGGAGAACTTTCATCACGCAGTGCGCGTTGGCATGATCGTGTATGGCTGATCCGTGACCTTCTCCCCAGCACAACACCATGAGATTGAACCTGCCATTTCCTTCGTCAACCAGATTCCTTGTATATCTGCACAAGGAAGAGAGTCACACACGTTTACACCTGGCAGTTTTCCTTTCAAGGTATTTCTTTGTCTATTATTTCTCTGACTAGTCACATTACATTCTTTATTGAATTTTCTAGACCTCGTGTATTTCAATAAAGTTTTATTCCGGTAGTACTACGTCACTTTTGTGTTTTAAATTTATTTTTAATAACAAAATTATAATTAAGTTTATCCTTGCAATAATTAAATATTCTAATATTTTTGCAATAATTAAATATTCTAATATTTTTGCAAATACATTCTCGGTACAGTTTTTTTTCGAATTTTTTAAGAAATAAAACACAAAGTGACTTTACTATCGTTCTTTTGCTGGATTCAAAATTGCAGAACATATTATAATACTATAAACGTAAACCCATACGTTTAATAAGTAAGTTCTAAATGTAAACACAAATTATAAATTTTCATGTATAGATGTGCAAATATCGGAAACACGGCGGCAGTAAATCTAGTAATGCTCGATCAATAATAATATTTCCGTGAAATTAGCTGTTGCTAATTAGTAATCTCTAGCGGATTTAGCAGATGCGAACATTATGAAATCTTCTATCAGGTTTACATGTTATGTATACCAACATTAAATCTGATTGTTTGTACGTATGCGGGCTACGTGTGTGTAACTTGAAATCGAAAACTAGTCTGGTTAGATATGAATGATAAATTTCACCAAAATTGTTCGCAATTGAAATGCAATACGTTCATTAAATTGAGAGCGAAAGAATCGGGGTTACGTATCACTTTCGGTCCATTTAACATTGTTCGTGTCTAAAAAAACTATTGATTACAATTTAAACTGAACTTTCATTAAAACGAGATAAAATTAACGAGATGTTTTTTTTTTTTTAGTATAACTGTTATAATTAGTGTAAAACAAGTTACGAATTTGGCTCACCGAACGCAATTACAATTCTGCAAGAAAAAAGAACTTGTTTCTTTTCGAATGAAGTTATTTAATTTTGAATTAAATTTTTAAACTGGATTATGCACACACAGACACACACACGGTTAATAGAGGATATTGTTAAATAATAAATTACGATATTTTGATATGTATTGGAGATATTTGTTAATAATGGAATCATCAAAATGCAGAATGTTATTCATCAGATATGTACGTACGTATCTGTGAATATTATACACAAATTGAGTGAATGTGTACGTGCTCCGACGATTTGTGATTTGGCGATCTGTAATTCCCGCGCATCTCGGCGGGCATAATTTTCAAGTTCGATATTTGATGTTTTGCGCAAATATTATACAATATGTATATGTTTTTGCTCATTTTTTTCGCAAATATTCAAATGTAAGCAGAAACGTTCTAGATCGTATCCAGAAAGGACTGTGAACACACGGAAAAGGGGAACGTATGCACGAAAGGTGTGTATATAACTAACTGTTCACCGGTCGATTGCCTTTGTGCGTGCGTACATATCGTTGTCGCTTTAAATAGCGGGATTTAGACATACGTGTATGTATCGCACATTTTTAAGTATTTTAATAACGGCGCGATTTAAAAAAAAAAAAAAAAACGGGATATTTATTCGTGAAAACGATAATTTCATGAAAATATAACGTGACTGTACGTGCGCTTTATGTGTTACACGTTGGAAAAAAAAAAAAAGAAAAACAGATTTATTTTTTCACGAAAAGCTGCTTTTTCAGTGGACGGAATATTCGCGCGGTATTACACGTTCCACTTCGTATTGACAGACAAAACCGGTAAACGTAGTAGTTTCCGTACTTTCCCGAGTCACGTGGATATCTCTCGCACACCGTGCAATTCCGTCCGTGTCCAAGGTGCTCGTTATCTCACGAACTCGTACAAACTCATTTTCATTCCCCCATTTGCGGTTGCTTGCCTAATCAAGAATCCGCCGCCAGGGTATCGGTGTAGGTAGCTATGGAACGGCCGTCAATTAGCGATGCGCTAAGCTACTTGCCGCCTCTGTGACAATAAACGTGATAAACCGGCATATATTCGTGATGTAACTAGTACTAATTTATTATTAAATATTAGATAAAACAATTATTCGAAATTTTTAAGTCTCACGTTAGCAAAGATATTTCTCGAACGTTTAACGATTACAGAGACGCTAATGATCTCCTTTGGTAAAACATGTAAATCTCCACCCTTGTACACATATATACCACGGAACTCAGTAGCGATCGTTGCAGCTGGTTGCAATATTTTCGAGGCGGTATCGCATCGTCGATGAACCCTAGAACGTTCGTTCTTATCGCGCAAAGAAATCCCCGGATCGCGCGTACTAAATCTTGTTTCGAGGAGAGATGTGTGTGCGCGCTTGTCAACATAGAGAGACTGGAGAACATATGTACGGAAATTCTCCTTCGATCTGGATTTAAGCAGCGCGCATTTGTAAAATCTATTACGTTGAATGAGATTATTCATTAGTTGCAAAATTGCAAGCGCTCTAAACACTTGTTTGCTTTGGAAACTTTCCATTTTCATGCTTGTTTTTTGATATTTTTTGTACTCAGCACGTTTCTTTAAACAAGATAGGTTTTTTTTTCTCGTAAAGTAATACTACGTTATCTATAAGTCGTATTGCGTTATTTGCCTCGATCACGAGATCGGGAGAGTGAATGCAAGCGATGACCCAATTCACCGGGGGCGTCTCTGACGTATTTTTTCGCTTTGGCACTCTCTCTCTCTCTTTCTCTCTCGTCGTCGCAAATGACGAGCAATTCACTTGTAACGTCGTGGAGAAACGTTAGTGGTGTTACGGGTCACTTCGGAACAAGGTTAGTAAATTCTTTCCACGTTCTACGGAAAGCACTGGACGATACGACGCGACGGTACGGACGCGAGAGAACGAGCTCGATGCGATAACCCATTCTGAACTTCGTCGTGTTAATTTTATTTCGCAATTCCGCATGGCGCGGTATGTGTATGCGTTCTATTTACATTCGACGAATACAGTGATTGGGGAAAATATTTGCTCTCGTCATTTAATTACATGTCGGCCTGCATCGTTGATCCTATCCCCGCCGCCGAATATTACAGAAAATTGACCATTACGTTGCGCGCTGATTTTGTTCATAATACTGCGATTACGATACTTCAATGCTCAACTAAACACTTGAAAAAAATATAGTGAATTTTATAGCAAATTATTTTGTGGATTTACCGTGTGCTACTTTTAATCACGTATGCAAACCTTTTTTTGTGACTTTTTTTTTGTGATCGCGATTTAAAAATACGACAAAAAATAATAAAAATTTAGTTTCGAATTTGTTTTTTGGAAAGTTTTTCATACATTCTGATATGATTATATTTTCTAAGTAATATATATAATAATAAAATAATCGTAAAATAGTTATAGTTATTGAACAGTTATAATTGTTATTTAATTAACTAGTTAAATACAGAAAACGAAAATCAAGATGAAATGGAGAGAATAAATAGAAATGAAACAACACAAAACTGAAAACATTAGATCCATAATTCTAGAACAAGTATTTCATAACAGTATAAAATCAAGAAGAAAGAAAAGCGATAAATTAAAGATATGTACGTAATATATTTGCCATAACATAATAATTCAACAAGAAGTAAAACTATTTCATGTATCAATAAAACTACATATATACGTCTTGTTAAACATTGAATATATAAGTAAATAAATATTAACGTCAATACCTATATCTATCAAACTTGGCAAACTTCTTCCACTCCACGGGATTGCTCCTGTAGCTCATCATCAGCTCCTGAACATGATCGATATTCACGTAATCTGTCTGGAAAGCCTCGTGCAGCGCATCTATAAGTTCCTGGAGGGTGGAAACTTTCTCCGGTCGCGCAAGTTTCTGCGCGTTCTCAGAGACCAGACACTCCGATTTTCCGCAAGGTACGTCGAACAATCGAGCCTCCCCGTTACAAATCTCCATTTTTCGCTCAACGCGATATCAACACTCTCGGGCGGTTTTACTCGAACTGTACGCGAAAAAGTTTTTCTCCGGTTTCCAGAAATACGTGATAACGATCACAATATTCAGCACCGAGAGAACGTAAAAGTGTAAAATAAAGCACTTCGACTCGTTTCACCAAAGTCGTTGCGAATTCGAAAGCGAAGGGAAGAAAGAGATTTACTCTTAGATGTGCCGCTCGGCACGCGTGGTGTTTAACTGCGAGAACGTATTAACTCCGTGTGCCACACGCTCTTGTACCATCGGTCTAATACAAATACTCGGATACTGCAACTTATATGTCGCCGGCAGGAGCCCCAATACATTGTTGCGTTCCCCACTTCATCACACCACTGTCCCCGCTACGATGATGAGGAGTCTTATCTATTTTTTTTATTTTTATTTTTTTTTATTTTTATTTTAGGATATCCTCTTTCTAAAGTATTTAGAAAGATTATATATATGCGCTAAATCTATAAGTTTTCCATATATGAAAAATTATAGATTTCTTTACAGATTGTCTTTTTCACATTGTGCATATCTATAACATGATTTTATTAATTTTCAGTTAAAAAAGATAAAATCATGTGATTTTATTATATTTAATAATATAGTTTTAGAATTACATTAAAGTATCTTGTTAAACAAAAAACAAAAAGTAAAAAACCCATATGTGTACTTTGAATGTATCGAAGCGTAAACAAGTGTCACGTATGTATTTTCTTATCACATGACGAAATGACACGAAAAAATGGCATCTTATCACGTCAAAATATATATTATGAAATTTGAAGATTACGAAAATAACGATGTTATTAAGAAATATAAATGTGTATCATCGCGCGCATATGAGCAAATCCACCGTAGTTTTAACTTTTATGAAAATTTATTTATTTTTTTTTTCGAATGTGCGTCACATCTTATATTGACAAACGTGTCTGAAATAGGTTTAAAAACACCAATCTACACGCGTTAATGATTTTGAACGGCGCAAAGTTTACCTGATTGAGGTCGATTTATATTTTTTTCCAGTTTTACAATGCAACCATTTTTAAATTACGCTCTTAACGTCATAACTAATAAAATTGGGTTTGAAAATTGTGGCCACATGTGTGTGTGTGAATTCCGTGGTAAGTTATAGTACAATAGTTTTTACAGTTGATATGGGCTGAGAAAATCTTTTTCGGAATATGGTGGATTTTTCAATGAAGTTATGCTTTTGAAGGCAATCTTTGATACACTGGTGTATGTTTTATTTTTGAGGCACAATTTTCAACAACGTTTTAAATTTTTCGTCTTTGTGTTTGCTACAACTTCAGTAATTCAGTTAGTCAATTAACTTAACAGCGCGTACGCAACATTGTTAAATTTAAGAAAATTTAATTTTGCAAAAATGGAAGAACAAGTTTTTTAGCGGCCGTTTTTTTACGATTACATGGCACACGATCGACCTCCAGGGAAAAGATGTATGAATGCAAGAACTAACTTTTCTATTTACTACAAAGGTGTTATATAACACGGCGCAGGTACAAAATTATTAAGAGTGAAACACAAATTCGAAAGGGACGAAATAAATTTTATGAGTTTTTATATTTTTATCGATTTAGTGTACTTTTTTTTTAAACGCCAGCAATGACACGAACGTTCTGCGCGTTCTTTTATATATATATTTATTACTATATATTTATTACTTATATATATTTATTACTAGATAGTATACGAGGAAAAAATATGTCTTGTGCATATAGAAAACAACTCAGATTCATCAATATAAAAAGTCCATCAAAAATTAAAACTACGGTGGATTTGCCCATATACATCACGCGACTCCCAACAAGTTCAGTAAAATATCAAATTGTAACAATTTGTTATTTATAGGTCTCATAAATAACCTTTCAAGATACAAATAATAAAACATTATTCACACATTCAGTAAAATATCAAATTGTTAGCAATTTGTTATTTATAGGTCTCATAAATAACCTTTCAAGATACAAATAATAAAATATTATTATTCACATAAATATGACAACCTACGTACATACAGAATAAATAAGTATTTTTGGTAAAATCACCATATATTCACAAATGATCGCGCCGAGCACAATTAATTAAATATCATTTACCTTCCCATGTTTCTCTCGCGAATGCGCTTTTTGCTTTCGGCTGTTTCGTTCGGTCAGATCCGATGAATCACTGCACCTGCACGGTCTCGGCTACCTCGCTATAATGCAGCTGCGGCAAAAGAATGCGGTAAAACACTAACAGCCGAAAGAACGAGATCCTCCCGTACGAGAGATCTCGATAATGAGATAAAGTAGAGTCAATATCCTCGCATCTCTCTCGATTGTCCATAAAATCGCCACGGAGTGAAAACGCAATAATCAAAATCGTAATTGCAATTTTACACAACAAAAAAATGCGCAAACAAACTCACGCGCAGGGCAAACTTTTGCAATAATAACATTTTGCCAACGGTCTCTTGTTATTAGGTCTGTTTTTTCTGCATCCACATGGCGAAACTTCGCAAACGCAGTTATTAGCACGTCGAATTGATATTGATTCTTCAAAATTAATTTTACGCTTGGTTTTAGGACTCGAATTGCATCGACAATTATTCGGTGACTTGTTCCTAAGTCCAATTCTAGGCGACTTTTCCATTTCAAGGCATCTAAAATATGAGGATAATTTTACAAAAGTTCTCCTAGCATGTTTCTAATGTGTTCATTCTGTGTCGATGTACCTGACGTGATCCTTAGATCTCGTTTCTCCCGTTTCTTCATTCTGACTCGCTCGCAACTCACAACAACAGGGATTTTTCCAACAACGTGAGCAGCATATAGACTCGCTAATCTTTTGCTGTAGCTCGTTCATTACGTCCGAGAAGATATTTAGCCGCTGATAAGGCAGCTGCTCCTCGGGGATGTGTTGCCCGTTCGGTTTCTCGTAACAACGACATTCTTCGGTGGGATTCGATTGAAAGTTCTCAGAGTTTCTCGTAAAATATCGCCTGATTTCTTTTCTCGGCTTCCAGCTGGTAACTCGAATTGTTCGATTCTCATCCGATCTCTCGTTTATCTGTACTTTATCTTTACGATCGCGGTCGGTGTCTACTTGACAGTTGCAAACATCCGACGGCAATCCGCAGCTCGAACATTTGCCGATCGGCGCTCTGCATGTGCACTTGTCTCGAGGATTGTCGCAATATAAACAAATCATCGCCTTTCTGCAGTCGCACACTTTTGTGATCTTGTTGCATTCCGTGAATACGCAATTACACTGATCTCTGCAATTAAATCAAGTTACAAATAAACACTTTTCTAGAAGCGATTCAACGTGACGCGATTCAAATAATTGTTTGTCACTTTACCAGCATCATAAAAAAAAACATTTCTAACATATCTACCTGCGTTTATCAGCCGTTCTCGAATAATCAGCACGCGTTGCACACCGTCTGCATTTGCATTCTTCGGAGAGCTGGCGAGAGAACGCAGTTTTCTTACACACGCATTCTTTCTTCGTTTTGTTACAGTTCGAGCAAATATGGGGATTAATTTTCAAAGGCGATACAACACAAAATTTTGGTTTGTCGGACTTTTGGCTCGTCTTCAGACAACTTTTCAGGTATTGTGACGGTGCGCAGTGGTCTATCCGCTCATTGTCCTCGCAAAGACATTCATTGGGAATGTTATGGCATTGTGTCGACTTATAAAGTAAACAGAAACAACCTTTCGGACGAAAAGAAAGCGGAGACGTACAAGGGATAGTTTTCTTCGCCTCGTCCTTTGTTTTTTTCTGCGGACAAGGCACGTACAGCTTTGCACGCTTGGCGATCAAATACGAACCATTTGATTCAGGAAGTACATCGCATTTACAAGATATGAATTTTTGAAGATCTTCTCTTTGTTTTTCGTCCGGAAAAAGTGCGCAGACTTGCGTCTTTTTGTCTATCACATCTTTTAAAACTTTCTCTTCGTCAGCAACATCTTTCGTAGAAACTTTAATTTCAGCAATACTTATTTTAGATTCTTCCACTTTTGTGTCTTCTTGGATCTCTTCAGAAATAGGTTCTTGTATGATTGTTTCTTCTTGAAAAGTTTCTTCTTGATCGACACGATCAATCGTAGTAGTTTCAACAGCAGGAAATTCCACTTCGGGTTCTTGAGAATCGGTTACAACCCGAACAGATTCTATTTCAGGTTCTCGAGGTTTGAAATCGGTTGCTGCTACAGTTGGAACGCGTGATCTTTTCGTCGCGATAATCCGAATTAATTTCGGTTTCAAACGCGTTGTCTCGTTTATTTTAAGAACGTCTGTTTTCTTATCCTCTTTAAAAATTCGAAAATCAGCTATCGATTCTGGCGCCTCGGTCTTTTCACGTGTTTCTAGAAATTTTAGAAAGGCATTTTATGAAAATTTTGTAACTAAATTGTGTGTAAAATTGAATCAACCTACAATTTACCTCCGTCTGCGAGCGGAGATTTCGGTGCTTCTATTTGTTCGACAATCTTCTGACGCTTCTCATCAATAATTTTATCTTCCGTTTCAGAAATAGTTTTGTATTCTCCATCATCTCGTTTGTCATTGACAATTTTTTTCTTTAATTTAGTTTTTTCTGCTTCTCTTTTAGCTTTCAATTGTTCTCGAGTGTATTTAAGTATATCGGCCAGTTTTTTAATCGATCGATATAAGAGAGGTTCTCTCGGCTGTTCCTCTTTCGTTTTCACTTCTCTTGGAATATTGTATTTTTCTTCGTTTCCTTTCAATTTGTCTTGCGCTTTTTTCACAGTCTGATTATTTTTACGCGACGCGGCCAACTCTCGCATCGTAGATCTCTTCGCTATTCTGCTCGGTTGCTGAGAATAATTCCTTAGTGGTCGATTAGGTAACTGAAATTTTAACGACCCTTGTTGATCGGGGTGAGTGTTTGATATGTGCTTGCTTGCTTTGGAATTTGAAATAAGATTAATGGAATTACGTGGAATTGCAGAATAGATACTTCTCGGCAACGATGTGGTATCTTCGATCGGTTTAACGGGAGTATTTGTTTCGTCATTCGAAATAAGTTTTTTCGTTCGTTCACCTTGCTTTATATTCACATTGGACTTCCGTCCTGCAAAATTATCACGGTTGCCGAACTTATTCAGTTGCTTCCCTCTATCGGTATTTCCGACATTTTCCTGCCAGTTATTTAAGTTCGAGCTATTTGTATTTCCCTCCGCGAGTTTATCTTCCGCGCTGTTCAAGAATACCGTCTTAACATCGTCTTGGTCAGCAAAGTTAGAGTCAGGAATCTTCTTACAAATTGTTTCCTTTGGGGCTTCTTCGGAGTCAGGAAGCGCTTTGGAAACTGCTACTCTTTCCGGGGGTCCTTTCGGTTCGCCAAACATCACTGTCCTGCAAACTGCGATATCTTTCGAAGACTCTTCTGCAACCAACTCCTTACAAACTCTCGTTACTTTTAGAGGTTCTTCCGAATTCTTAAACGTTGTTACGTACACAGTCGCGCCGTTTCGACATTCCGCAGGATCTTTCGACGCGCTTTTACACGTTTCCTCGGAACATTTTCCGACGGCGCTAAACGACGTTCCGCATACAGTCGCATCCCCGGTTAATTCTCGCGACGGCGCTCGACAAACGTATATCTTTTCCGGACACGTCGCCTCTTCACATACACTTTCAGGAAGCTCATTCCCGACTATGTCGACGCTCGCACAACGATCTTCTTCCTCCTCCGCGATACAACTACACGCGGATCTCTGAAGAGTCACGTGTTCTCTTCGGCAATCCTCGATAGGTTGCCGCAGTTTGTAACCCACTCGTCTCTTCCAGATATCGTTGCCATTTACCGCCGAGTCTTGGACTTTTTTGTTTCGGTACCTACAATTGTCCGCGAAGCACTCTTTCGGAACTTTTTTGCCGTACGTGGCGCAATCTGTATAAATCGATTTCCGTTGCCATCTGTTGCCGTCGATTGCATCGCACACGCTGTATTCGTCGTCATTTCCGCAAATTTTATTTCGAGTGTCATTCTCGTCGTAATCCAACGTGATGTCGCTACCATTCGATTCGGCTTCCGCTTTTGAAGGATAAATGCTGGTCCAAGACTGTGGACGTATCGAATTGTCAAATATGCTAAAGCTCCCGGCACACGGGACCACAGACTCCGACGAGTCACATAGTGGACCCGTCGTGCTGTTTGTATCCTCGCAACAACAACCGTTTCTAGTCGACGAAATTGTATCTCCGCGTTCAACATCCTCATCACTAAGTTTGACATCCACCCCTTCCTTGTTGAATTCGCTCGATACCTTTCTGCAAATACTATGCACGGTTGTGTTGTTCGTATCACAGACAACGTTATCCTCGCTGCTGTCGCTGCTCTTGTCCCTTCTTTTGTGAAGAGTATTAGATAGTCGCTGCGCTTGCAATTTTCTCCGTTTTTCTTGTATGCAGTTTATCAGCTTGCACGTTGATGCGCTGCTGGCGCATCTCGAGTTTGATTGCTCGGTGATTGTATCGGTACTCGTCTCCGTGCAAGATTGAGTCTTCGTTTTTCCTCTGCTTTTATCCTGTGTGTTCGATTAGAGTTTATTACACGGTAGCAATCAATATACTTTTTTTCTACTATTTATAATAAAATGCAATCAGTGCCGACGTTACAAAAGAATTACAATGAGAAATGATAAAACTGACTTCAATATTTCGCAATAAAACGTTTTCGTTCAAGTTTCCGTTATTAAATAAAATTTTGTGAAAAAATTAGAATAATATACAAATGACAGATTTTCAGACAATTTTACAATTTTAACGCGTCCACGCACATTTTATTTTGTTTGAACAATAATTGTTTAATGAACTTACCGCGCTATTGTCATTAGCCTCGGAGCAAATATAGATATTTACATTTCCGGTCATTCTGCGATTGTCGGTGCTCACATTACTCGCCGGTTTCGAGTGTTTTTTATTTCTTTTTTCGTTGTTGATATTCACCGGCAGCGGTGTTGCGTCCTCGCGCGTCGTTTTAGCGCGTGAAAAGGAACTGTCGCGCGTGGGATTGTTATATTGCCGCATAGCGGGACATGTCGCGTTTCGTCGATCTCTGCAAGAGAGATCGGGCGATTTCTTGCAGTATTCGTCCGCTACGCGAAATTGACACGCGCGCGACTTCCTTTCAGACTCTGTCGACTTTTTCTCTTCCTGTTTCAAATAGATTTATTTGCTCATTTTATCTTGACTATTTAACGTAAACAAAAAAAAGAGAAAAGGATTTTTACTGCTTAATCTCTCTCTACTGTGCAGCTTTGTTTTTAGAAAAAAAAAAAAACGAAGTTCTAAATGTGCGTCGATATTTGCATCCTAGGTACCATTGAGCACTGTTTCACGATAGTTTGCACGGCATCTTTAATGGAATTGTTAATCTCTTTGATGGAATTGTTTATCTCTTTGTTGATCATCTCGCTCAGTTTCGTGGGGTTGATCTCTTCGATGCGCGCGAGCAATTCTTCGTTTGCCGATGCGTCTATGAAAGTCTTGTGTCTTTTGATCTTCTCCTCCCCACAAGTTTCCGAGACGCATACATCGCCCGCGGCCCGCGACGTCTTTTTGCCATCATCTTTGTTCTCGTCTTCTCGTCTGTCTTCGACCTGTTGTTCTTCCGCGATATCTTCTCTCCTTTCCTCAACGAGAATTGACGCTTTCAAGGTTCCTCTTCTCTCGTATTCCGATTTCACTGTTGGTTTCGATTGATCGGTGAAAACCGATGCGTCGATCGTCAATGCCGACGGGAAACTCCCCGTGTTTTTTACGTCACGAAAACGGCAAGCCACATTAGCATCGCGCAAGAGATTTTTCCGCGCGGAAAATATCGCGCCCGCATTTTGACCAAGAGTTTTCGAATGCTCTCCCGGCATTTGAGAATCTAATTTCCCATACGTTTCAAGTTTTGACATAATATCCGACAAACTCTTCAATTAAATCTCATCGCTTCTCGTGTGACGCATATTTTCCTCACGTCTGCTCTGTTATATTTGTTACACATTCATATTCCTGCTGTGTTTTATTCATCCACTTTTGAAATCTTCAAAGTGTGCCCGAGTACACTGTGCGTGACAAAGCCACGATAATTCATACTTGAAAATTTGATTTACATATTTGGTTAAGTGTCATAATGAATAACGATATTCGACATTTTTACGATGACATATAAGAGTCATAAAAGAATGGAATGTCGAAACAAATTGCCGGATCTTTTTAATTTTATCGCACAATGTCATATCAAGCATCGTTTAATACCATGTATAAGTTGTTTGAGTATGGAACTTTCTTCAGTATGGAATTTTTAATATATATTCCGAACCAATTTCGTAATTTTATTATTTTCTTTTAATAAAAAGATATTAGTATAGTAAAATTTTAACGCACGATTAAAAAGAATGCGCACGTCATTATTTGTTTTATATTGCTATTCGATTTTTTGCAAAAATATTGTAGACATCTAATTTTTTCTCTTCGTTATTTTCTCGATCGGACGATGATATTTACGAAGAATAAATCGACCGATGCGTTATTTACCCGATGGTTGATACCCGATGGTCACAAAACGTATCCCTCGTGATTTGCGAGCGTTTTCAATTTACCTGAAAATTACGGTCGTCCACCCTCTTTGAGAGAGTAGTCGTGGCGAATCGATTCCCCTGTACAGTGGCCTTGACTCGTGCCGACTGATTGTACTAATCAATTGTTTGGCTGTGATATGACGTACGACACTACCGATAACGAGGAATACCCTTGTTTGCTTCGCATTGATTGCCGCATTTGTTTTTGTACGGATAATTTTTGCGTCAGCGCAGCTGTGGCTCGGTATTATGTACGTGAATTATTACATTCGTGCGTGTAACGCAAATAATTTAATACAGTATCACATATCTGACATATATTTGAAACATTGTTTTATAACGCAGCTCGCGACAAGCGTATCCGAGAGAGTTATCAATTATCTTGTAACTTTTGCTACATTTCACGGTATTTTTGTTATTGAAGCTTGTATTTTTTTTTCAGTTTATAGATACTCTGTAAAACTATTAATACTTATATAGTAAAAAAGTTGCAACTCTATATAATTATTGCAGAATTAAAAAAAAAACGTAACCGTGTAACACTCTATTACAAGATATTTTCAATAAAACGAAGTAATAGATTTATAGCGCATTATCGTTATCTGTAGTTTCATCGGCCGAAGTCGAAATACCGGATTGATGATGTTTACAGGGATAACTGCAAATCGATGATATCTCGCTGAATAATTCGGTTTGATATCGTTGATCCGCTTTATAGCTAGTATTGCATCTTTCTTTGTGTTTGCACTGTATAAAACAACAAACGAACAAGATTAACATAAATTTTTATGTAGAACGTAAATTAATCCCAAGTTTTTTTATTTTCCAAATCTTTTATATTAACAACCGCACTTCTTTTCTACAAAATATTTTTATTATATTTCTTGCGAGTAATGGGCAATATAGAAAGTTCAATTTTTACCTTAAATCTGTCGACAGTTGCTTTCGCGAGCCTCGACGTGACAGTAATTCCTTTACGATCCTCAATTTTGCGGGGAAATAATTGCTTGAGTTCTTTACATTTGTCTGCGCGCTGCGACAACAATATTAAAGGTCTCTCGATTTCGGCCTTTTTCCGAAACTCACATATAACATCTTTAAAAGTTTGCGTTTCTTGATAAGGGAGGGTGTTAACCTCAGTTAGCTTCGCGGTGACCTTGAGTGTATCATCGGAAAAAAAGATATCATTTATCTGTAACTTCTTTTTTTTCATAACTGTTTATAGCGCGCGCACACAACGGCATAATAGTGGAAATATTTTATTTTCAACGACCAATTAATTAATTTTAAAAACAATTTAAAAAAGAAGCACTAATCTTAATTAAATCGTAACTGATAAATATAATACAAAATAATGAGCTTTGAAATTCTTTTTTTTTTTTTTTAGACGACATGACATTTAAAGCGCTTTCTTACCGGAGTTAATCTATCCGTAAATTCACGAGCATCGTACATAGCAGTAGAAGTATTACAGGATGCGCGGTTTCTCGGTTTGGCACTTGACAGAGAACCCTTCGTGCTTCGAAGGGCACTCAAAGCCGCCCATCTTCTGGTTTCTCGTTCCTGAATTAATTTCATTCTGTCGTGTTCCTTTAGCTCCTCTATCAACCCCGGCGTTTGATACGCGGGCAGATATTTTTTCAACATAGGAATCTCCAGTCTGGTTTCGCACATATTGACGTCGTATCTGTTTTTTCTTATTTTCTGTGGTTTCGTTTCTGATAGACTGCAATAATTAAAGAAAAAGCTTGAATAAATTTTTTCTCTTTTACATTTGTAGTCCACTTTGATTAACATTTTTTTTTAAATCAAATTTATATATCAAAGATATGATTTTTATACCGTGTTGTAGAGTATCACCTTAGTTTTTTAACTTTGGATGCATAAATAGTTTTAATATCTGTGTAACAACTGTCGTGCTTAATGTGCTCGTTACACGGACACATGTATTTTTGTTGATCCAATAAATAATCACAGTCGTAGCAGTGAGTCGTTTGTACAGGTGACTTGAATTGCGACCGAACATCACAAGACCGGACTTCTGATTTATTCGAATCGCAGACATCTTGATTTATTCTTTCAACGTCTTCCCCAACGTCATGAGAAGCGCACTGTGTTTGACGATCTTGCCTCGAAATTTGCATATCGCGATCGCAAATTGTTTTCACTTCTCTTCTTCTTTTAAAATGCTTCTCTTTAATTAACGTTGCTTTATCGCGAAGTTTTTGCTTTCCTCGCAACAAATTGCCATCAAAGTCACTGCAACATTATTGAGTTACAAGAACTTTTTCTAGTAAATAAAATAGTTTTTAATCTTAAAAATTGGTTTCATATTAAATTTCCTACCTCTTTTTACGACGTTTGCGTTTATTGTTCCACTTTTCTAGTCGTCTCTCCACGCCGGAAGCTTGAGAAATTTCGGCATCTGTACACAGCGTCTCTTCGTTCCTCCTGTATTTTGCGAATTTTTCTAGACTTGTTTGAACACTCTTTTCAGACATTTCTGCGAATCCTTCAATTTCACGCGTTACGATCTGCGTGCCTTTCTGCGTTATTTCAATGCCTTCTTCGAGTTCCGTGGATTCCGCCATCTCTCCATCGTCAACACGTGTTTCCGATTGCTTCGTTAATTTCTCCTCAGTTGGTCTCTCACGCCTTTTTGCCCGATACGTGATGCCGTACAATTCCAAACCAGCTAACGGTTCGTACAATTCAGTTCCATCATTTGCTCTTGAAGTCGCGGCTTTTGCTTTTTCTCTCGCTTTTAACCTTTCGGTCTGCTCTTCCCGGACGCAATATCTTTTCACATCTTTTTCCTCTACATATTTCAACATTATGCCAATATAAATAAGTATATTCGTGTGTGTTTTTTTTTTTTTTTTCAATAGTATATTACATATACCTCGATCGGATGTCTTCCAATCGATGGTCAGCAGTTCCTTGTCTGTTTCTGACAATCCGTTCGTATTCGATATTTCGTCGCTCTGTTCCATGACACTTGACCGACCGATGTTTCTATCCTCTTTGGTTTTACAAGATATCGGCGACGTGCAAGAGCACAAAGTCTGAATTCACACACATTTTTATTACTTGAATAAACTGAGAATTTATTATTTTTAATCCAAACATAAACTACAGTTTGCTTTTACTACTTACGCTCCATTTGTCGTTTGTTTTTTGACTGTCGATTAATATTCTGGCATCTGATAAAGTATTAATACGATCTTTCGTACGAACGACGATCGATTGCGAGTCTTCGTTCTCGTTCACTTCGAAATACGCCGTGTCTCTCGAAACCGATTGCAAATATCTGTAACACGGAATGTGTGTGTGACTTTTTTTTATCGCGTTCAAGAATCTCACTTGCATTATTTACTAAATATTTTCCGTGAGATTTTTTTATTTACCTCGGTAGTCTTTTTGTTTCAAATTTGCTCTCGTGAGGATGTCTCCACTTTACGGAGTCAATTCTCGCGCGAGAATCTGGCTGGCGACAAACCGTCTTGCGTCGCGCACGATGCGAATCATAATTTCTGCTGTAAATATTATCCTCGGAATCGTATCGATCCGAAACGATTTGCAAACGATCTACGCGTCGGTCGTGCGTCTTTAAAAGCGCGCTCTTCTCGTTCTCGCCTTCTTTGTCGTCGGACGAAGACGCGGAGGAGGAATCTTTACGCTTCGCGTACTTTCTCGTAGCACGGATTCGTCGATACGTTCGTGCGGGCGAGGCAGATTGATTTCCAGGAAGCATTCGAACTATTCTGTCTATGAGAGACGGTTTCTCCGTTTGCCGTACGCCCTCGCTATCGGTCTTCTAAAAGGGAATGAAAATTCGCACCGTAAATACGCGCGCGACCGGCGGCGGCAGAAATACTCGATTGATGAAAATAAAGTAGATACGCGCGCGCTCGCTTTGCGTCAGCGAAGTAAATAGGAAGTTATTTTATTATTCGACGTACTGTTCCTTTTCCGAGCCAAGAAATTTTCGTGAGTGCGGCGAGGATTCTCTTTACGCGACTCCGTTTCTTTTCTCTGGCAGCGGCGCTGTCCTTCAGGAGTAATTCTTCGGAGCCGTCTTCCATCTCCACATGAATCACCTCCTCCTCGTCCAGCTCCTCCGTGGGCCACGATTCGGTGTCCGCTATTGACGTGGACGAGCCGGAATCGTCTTTTCGCGGAGAAGAGCAGGATTTCCTTTTCAGTCTGGTACGAAGCCTCCTACGAGCTCTCATCACGAAACAGGACGTCGGATCCTCGCTGCTTGAGGTAATCTCCTTTGCTAATGAGTCGTTAAAAATCTAAATTGGACATTTAATTCCTCAGTATCGACATTGGCGATTTTTTGGTCAGCATTTGAAAGATTTTTGGTTTTGTTTAATGAGATTAAAATATAATAGACATATAAAATATCTTTTTAAATTAATTAAAGTATGCAATTATATGGCTTGTAACTCTCACTTGAATCGTAACGTCTTCTCTTATTTTTTGCGCTTCAATGTCTTTGAAGGGTGCTCTACAAGGCACGATTTCGATACCTCTTGGTGATTCTTCTTGATAAGCTGCATATCAATAATACTCGCTGAGTAGTTTATACGATAAATGAAACATATATATATATATATATATATAAGAAAAGAATTTGTAACGAATAATAAGGCAAAATAGTACTATAACTATAAATCGAGTCAGAACTGCTGATATCATCATCTGTTTGTACAGCTTCATCCTTCTTTTCCACAATTATTCTTTCAACTTTGTCCTTCTTTTCTTCTTCGGGTTTTATTTTTTCTTCCGGCGGTTCTTCTTCCCGTATTTTTTCTTCCGCTATTTTTTCTTCCGTAATTATTTCTTCTTTAATTATTTTGTCTTCCGCTATTTCTTCTAGTCTTATTTCTTCTTTCACTTTGTCATCCGGTTCCTTTTCCTTAATTATGGGTTCTCTTCTCCACACGGTCATTAATTGATCGTCAGATGAATCTCTAATTAGCACAATATTGAACTTGCATTAATTTTTCTCTCTTATTATTTTTACTACTTTCACGTTCTCTGTCAAATGTCTTGAGGCGTACAACGCGATTTGTTGACAAGGCTCACCTTTCCTCACTCAAGTCCGACAAATCGCCGTATTCGATGGGCGAGCGACAAATCGTGCAGAGATTCTGCAAGTCCGCGAAGCATTGAACGCAGAACAAACCGACACATCCGGGAGTGGCGCATTTAATGTGCGGTTCCTGATCGGGGCGCTCCAAAGCACCGCACAAGAGACACATGTTCTGTTTCCGAGGGAACAACTTGTTCAGAAACGGGCATATAGCCAGGCATCGCTCTCTGAACGTGACTCTTTCGATCGTCTCACCCTCGGTCATGCCGAACTTGCGGCGTAACTGGCGTCGTGCAAATTTCAGAAAGCTCCCTCTCGATCTGTGCACGAAGAGTTTGCCTCCATTAACCACACACAGACACTGCTTGTAAGTATGAAATTTACGTCACACGCGAGTGCGGGGACCGCGAACAAAAGGCAAAAGAGCGATTTTTAAGAATTTTTCTTATTCTACTAGGAAGACCTTTTATCTTAATTAACTACGTGATGCGTGTGTTTTGAAATATAATTAATTAATATATTAAAAAAAAGAAAATATTTTTCAGTCAAGAAAGTAGAAAAGGTAACGCGTTCGACACTCCGCGAGTGTCACTTCATCAGCTAATTGAGGATGCATTACCTAATTATGTGATTATACAACCAAGCGGCTCTTTGCTTGGCCCTTTCCGGATGATATTTGCACATGATGACATGGCGCAATCTTAAACCGTAAGGCTCGAATATCGCCATGATCCAACAGAGGGTGACCAGCGTCGCAATCTGTGTGTACCTATCTAGATCCGGCGGAATGGGATCTGGCAGGCAGGGCATCACATCGATCCCCGTATCTTTCGCGCGCGGCGTGAAAGCTTTCACGATGCTACGGTAAAGGTCGGCGAGATAGCCGTTACCAGACACATAGACGCCCACGGAATTGGGTCGTTGGACCTGGAGAAAGATCGATATACACGTTCCGCCATCGCGCGATATTACCTTTCATCGTGATTATTCTACGTCGCGATATACGTCCAACCACCAACTGTCGATATTCTCGCACTCCTTTTACGAGTCTCGAGTCTCGATAACATGAATCACATTTCTAATCTAACGTGTTCCCTACAACTTGAGCGAAACAACCCTCCCTCGAAATCTCATAACCGTCATTTAGTTCTCTTTAGCGATAGTGTTCTATTATTGATAATCAATTTAAGAAGCATTTGAGCTTTTTTCTGATTGAATTATTTTTCTTATTGCAAGTTTAATGTGAAAATTTCACTAAGTGCGAATTATTATTTTTTTTTTTGTACGACATTCGCGATCGCGATTACCTTTATCTCGAATCGTCCGTGATATCTAATGATGCTGAGGATCCAATAAAGACTGTAATCCGCCATCATGTGAATGCAGATTTTGAATGTTGTTAGGAACAAAAAGACGGCGGATTTCGCGAGTTTTACTTTCTCCGCCCTGATCAGCATAACGGACGTCAAGGGAATGTATTGATTTCTTTCGCGAGGATTCAACGGTAGAATGGTCTCCTTATCCTGACGCGTTCTGATAAGATCAATGGTGCGCAGGTCATCAGTCAGATATCGATTGTCGAAACGATCGTTTGTCAACCATTTGTGCCGATAATACATCACTCTGGAAAACGTTTGGATTTTACAAAATAATAGATTAAACAATAGGAATGTCGTTTTTAATTTTTTTTTTACCTCAGCAGCATAAAAAGAATGAAGAAAGTGGCCATAAAGCTCATCCAATCGAAAACGGCTAAAAACTTATCGGTCCTCGATCGCACTTCGGTGATTATACCGGTCGATACTTCTTGTAGGGTTTTACTTTGGTTCGTTTCAAAATGAAAAGAATGGGAAAATTTCACTTTAACGTAGAACATCGCTCTTATATGGCGGGTGAATCTTTTGATCTCTGAATAAAGGGAAGAAACACGTTAAACGTTATATTAGAAATACATGAGAGAAGAGCTTAATACAATATATTATGTGTACATGTTCCGTGTAACAGAAAATTTTTTACATTTTTAAGAACATTTAAGTTTTATATATAAAAAAGAAATTTCCGGAGAAAAACTTGCGACACTACAGATGCTTTTAAGAGAAACGCGCGCGCGGGAAGCAAAATTTATTATACAACGTACTCTTCTGCACGGCGTCGACTATAGTATCGGCAACGTAAGACACGAGCATGCAGATGAAGTCTAAAGGCTTCACCACGTAACACAAAGCGCCGACGATGTACGTCAAATTGCAAATCCCGCCAAAAAGGGGGCCAAGCTTCGCTTTGCAGTCAGCCACCGCGCCGTCAAAAACTCTTTGGCATCTGTCGAACGGCGTGCCCAACTTCTTGTTGCAAATATTTATGATGCTGCCGAGCCATTCAAAAACCGACGTGATCACCCTCACTGAGAGATGCGAGTAATGTCTCGAATTACGAAAATCGATCGTGCTTTTGAGAGAAAGAGAGTAAGAGAAACGACGCGCGAACTTACGGATACTAAGCACGAGCCGCTTCATAGCCACGAGAGTCCGTTTAATCCTCTTCACGATCACCTTCACTATCTTTATTACTTTCGATATCGCGTCTCTCAGAGCGTAGAACGGTTCTTTTATTAAGTCAATCACGCTCTTCACCGCTTGTTTCAACTGTTCCTTTAGAATACATACATGCGATGATGCAAGATTAATTATTCGGAAAATTCAGAGATACGTTGCTCGAGCAACTGTTGTTGATTTACAAAAGATTTGGTAATTACAACGTGGCTGCGATTAGTAAACGTTAGAGAATTTCCGTTTCTCCGTTTGTCAAACAAAGCGTTTCAACGAGGTACGTGTACAAGGAAGTTTGTTTTACGCATAGGAACAAATAAAGCGAATTTACTTTCAAGAGCTTACTTGTCCGCAAACTAAAGACTCCGTAAGGATGCTGGTATTGTGCAGAGTATTTTTTCCTGGACCAGTGATAGTGAGAATAAACGCATAGGCCATCAAGGCCTGTCTGCCACGTTTGGAAAAGAACTGCGGCAGCAATAAGAATACAACGCACCTGTGCGAATGTTATTGAAAAATTTATGAACTTGCGCAAGACGTAAAGAGATTGGAATAAGAAGATAAAAAATAGATTCTTAGATGCTCGCGTGTATTTTTTGATATTTTACTTAAAATAATTTAAAAATTGTTAAATGTGTTACAAGTGTGGCGCACATAATACTTGTTTGTTTTTTGCTTTTGAGAATTTATGCAAAATTACCTCACACGATGAGAAAATGCCAAACCGAGTGTAAGAATCATTCCGAGAATTGAGCACAAAACCGTGGCGGAGGAAAGAGTAAAGTTGAGTTGAAACACGAAAAATACGAAGAACAAGTAGGTGAGAAATATTCCGCCCAAAAAGCCGAACAAGCTCTTGAAAATGTAATTCTCGAGCGTACCGTCAATGCGAAGGTGTTTCGTTCTCTTATAAATCCAAGTATGTTTCATGAAGGAGAGTATTCGGTTCCAAAAGTGTTTAACTTTCTTTCTGCATCTACGGAAACAATTCGGTCGTGAAAGTAAAATACATTTTGATAAAAAGTACAGTTGCTTGTGCAAAATCTACCGTTTAAAGGAAAAATACAATAAATATGAGAATTTTTTTTTAAATAAATACAAATTGCGGCAGCAAGCTCGACTGAGTTGAGAAAACTTGACAATAAGCTCTCTCGGTTACTTTAATCTCTTTCTTCGAACACGTTGTCTTAGGGTCAGAGGCGGTTTGACACCTTTAAAAATCTCGATCGATCTCAGTTTTTCGTCCTCGTATCTTAACCTAGCCTTTTCGAGTTTTCTTGCTTTTAGAACTAATTGGAAAAATGCCATGATCTTACGTATCTAATCTCTTTTATGTGCTTTTCTACTGAACTTTGCGTGTATGATATTTATTATAAATATTGCGTGAATTATTGTTAGTTGATTGTAAATTAATGTGACGCGGAAACGTCACTAAATATCATGCTTAAATAAACATGAAGTTTCAAACAATGTGCGTTTGGTGACATTATTATTCCATCTCTATGCATATTAGTTATATAAAACTACTAACTTTTTATTATTCAAACATTTTGTTATTTTATTACATTTCTAATTCTTGAACAAATTCAACTCTTCTATTTCAAAAATATCCGAACTTTATTCTTAAAATTGTTTAATTATATAAATATTCGATCACGTTATTTTTAGCATCTAATACAATATCCGATATAGTTGAATTCTAAATTATCAGTTAGGTGTAAACAAATTGTTATTACCAGCAAATGATCACAAGGAAGTAACGATAATTGAACGTTCGATGGTAAAACGTTTATTTCTTCTCAAATTGTAAATTTGGACGATTACAAACAATTGGAATTTTATTCAGGATTTTTTACAAGTTTTCGATATTTTAAATCTCTTTTAATTGAATGGATAAACTACCGATTGAGCCGCAACAATGTTCTTGCCCGTTTCAGACATTCTTCAGGATCCCGTTTTACATCGAACGTCGCCAGTGTCGATGTTCGATCATTCAAAAAGGACCGCGTAATGCCGCCAGCACACGTCGGAGCGAGACATCGATGTCACCCGCCGCCTTCGAAGGCGGACGTCGAGGTCGTTGGAGAGGGGCTGGCAATCTAAACCTGATAACGAGCCAGCTGGCGACGGCAGTGCCGTCGTTTACGTGGAGGTGCGACCTTCGTGAGAGCTCCGCTCCCGTCAGTGGGTTTGTGTCAGAATCGCGCTCCAGGAAGGTCGTAATTTGTCTCGAGAAACAAAAATTGCGATTCGAACCGATGTAATTTCCAAGTTTAATCGAAAGCTTCGAGTTCCCGCGTACACTACGACGTGAAACGCGCCGAAGGGGCAAAAAAGAGAGAAACGGAGAAGCGACGAAGGGTGGAAAAAGAGGGAAAGCAAACATGCCGTAAAGCCCGCCAGATGTGTTACAATCCGACCAGGTCGACGATGCTCATAGCGCGCACGACTTTCGATCGCATGCGACCGACGTAGACGCTCCGTCGTCGTCGTCGTCATCGTCGTCGTCCTTGCCGCGCGTGTACATATATATATATATATATATATGTGTGTATTGTGTAGTGGCACGCGCATGTAACCGTGTGTCTGTGTATGTGTGTGTGTATAGGTGAATATTTCCTGACCCAGCTTCTACCTGACCCAGGTACCAAACGCCTGGACCAATCACGATGACTACGAGGGAGCTCTATGTTAAGGTACTGCGGGAGGGTTGTCGAGGGGTTGTCAAGTGTGCCAGGTGCGCGCATCCCCGAAGAAGATGGCTGGTTTTCCGTCATTTGATGCAGAATCACGTCTCTGGCAATTTGCGCGCCGGTTTAATCCTCCGAGAGGAATCGATGTTGCATTTCAAGGGGATGTCCCGCTTTGATTTTGAAACGAAGCGTAGAGATATTCCATTATCCTACTTGTTTAAATCTTTGAAATTCTGTCAGATCGGATGAAAACAATTTTTTTTTTTTTTATTGTTAAGAATGCGCATATTTTATTAATATACATTTTATTAATACACACGTACGCAAACTTGTTAGATTTCCTGTAATAATTCAGTCAATTTTTGCTTTTTCGCTACTTCGTGATAATTTCGACTCGTCTGAACCCGGAGAATACTTGGTACATTCCGGAGTTTTTTTTTCTTGTAGCGAGGTCGTCGGACGAATTCGCACATGCTCTTGGACGAGAAACAGCAGTGTTCAGGTCAAAATCCGAGATATATCGAAACGAGAAATGGCATCTTGAAGACTAATTTGTTTTTTTTTTCAAACGGAACAATACACCAGTTTCCAAGCAAGTCTTTTGAACACTATGATTATAAGTGCGTTTTATTTTAGTTCGAGTGAAATTAAAGGATAAAAATGAAGAAGAAACCATGTACGCGGTAAACTTTAATCGCCCTTTACGACTTAACGTTAACCACACGTCTGTATGTTTGGATCTAAAATTACTTAGACTGATCATACGTAATATCTTGGTGTCTCTCATTTGATGTAACTCAACTGCACATATCCAACCAGGAAATATTATTCAGGAAATATTATTTCCCGGTTATGCAATCGGTGGAAATTGCAGGAACGATGTCGATCACTATACAAGCTTATGGTTGCGCGTGCAAAACTGTAATCTTACTCCGTTTTTTCTTTTTGGGGTTTTTTTTTTTTTTGTTTTAGTGTCGCCGAACGTTAAACACGCACACCTTTGACATTTAGAGCAGTGAATGTGTCTCTTTCGGAGTGTCATTGGATGCAGGAACAAGTAATTCAGGAAAGAGCTCGACACACAACTCGTTTTATAATTTTTTCATAATTTCACTTTGTGTTATTTGTTTTCAAAAGAGCGAATTTTCAAGCTTTTGACCGCGCATGTGCTGCATTACACGACGTTAAAAAAAAAAAAAAAGTTACACAAGAAGAGTACGCGTGTAATGATTTTTTTTTCCACAATTATATATTTTTACGTGCAAATTCGCATAGATCTGCAATATGTAGGACAACTTTTCCGTGATACGTACGCATTGTACCGGTTTTACAATACAAGTCTTTTACAACATTGAAAAGTCTTATTCCCACTATTTTATTTTTCCATTTGAATGACGGACATTACCGTTGTATTTAATTATGCAAGCTATTATTCTCACTCACGCACAAAGAGGTTTTCCCTCTCTTCTCATTCAATGTTGTTACATCTCGCGACATGGAACGCAATCGTTCCCCCTCCTGTTTCGAAAACAAAAAAAAAACAGCTTGTTCAAAAAACGTGTTTTGACGAGAACTATCTCTATTGGTATCTGTCGGGGTTCTTGATATTTGTGTTTGGCAATATCCGAAGAGCGCAGAGACTCGCAAATCTCACCTACTTATAGATAGCCTTTAACTCGCGGCTTTATACATTCACTATCGTGAGAATCAACAACGCCGACCTGACAATGTATTATCTGAGGTTCTCAGTTAAATACAACATATGTAACAAGTTCGAATGTGTTTCACGATTCACGCGAGTGAGTGATGTCTCTTCTCTTACCCAAGTAAATATATTTAATTCGAGAAAGTTTATCATATTTATTTCCCAATTTCTTGATTAATACTGATAAATAATTTCATGCGAATTTTTTTTCTATTATTTATTAATTCCTATATTTTTTTAATATTTAGATTCTTTTCTTTTTATTGACTTACAGACTTACTGAGCGCTTGGGAGCGATAAGAGATAAAGAGAGAGCTTTGCTCTTCGCACGTGCATTAATAATGAGGCGATTCGTTTCGAAAAAGATGGGGCAGTTCTCGGGATTTCTTTTCGAAACTAAAAATCAATAACTTCCTCCGGTGGGAGAGTCTCTCGGCTGTCAGAGAGACCTAAATTCCCGTTTTAAACCAGGTGGCAGACACAACCAGCCGTGGAGGTTGCACTTCATGCGCGATTTACCGCAATAATGTTTCTCGTTGACAGTGTGATGGTACGCTCTGAATGCGATGTCGCGTAAAATTAACAATTAATCGTTTCTTTTGTCGCTTTGTCTAAAAAATAATTGTGTCAACTATTGTTAACTTTGTGTCAACTACAAATTAACTATAAAGCGAGAAAGAAATCCCGAGAACTACCCCCATCTTATTATTATAAGCAAATACACACGTGAACGTACATATTAAAACGACCAAATTTGCAAACATAATTTATCTAATTTGAAACACAATTCGAAAATTTGTATTTATAAACGTAATAATCGATTGGCAATAGCTGATTACTATTTTCAAATAATTACCTGTAAATTACATGCAAATTGAAACGCGCAAAATATCGCAATCTAAGCGCGTTCGAGGGAATAATTGCACGAGATGCCACCGAGTAATAAAGATTGACATTAGAAAGCGGCGATGAGAGCCATAGAGTCTGCTACGGCTCGCGCTATTCCCTTTAAGCCTGTGACGTTCCTCCCGACGTTAGGTGGTGGTTGATTTATCAGTGTGACCAGGTGAGAGCGGCTCGGGAGTTGACCTAGGTCGGGCATCATGGCATTTTTGTTATAACAGGTTTTCGTATCTTCGGGAAAAAGCGGCACGGAAATAAACGCCCGACAATGCGGACATCGTACTTTGTTGCTGTATTTTTCGCATCGATCTCGATGACTCGTGCACACAGCTACACGGGCTATGCGGGTCTTCGGCAAGTTTCTGAACTGGCATCGACTTCACTGTTATCGAGCGTAAAACAATCGAAGACTGTCTGAATCGTTAAAAAAATAATAAAATCGTTCGAACATGTACTTGGATCTGGAAATTCGCAAGATAGATGTGCGCTGTTCAAGGTGTTTAATCGTCGGGAAAGATTACAGAAGTGGTTTATCAGAAGAAAACCGCAATCAGCGAAACCTTGAGTTTAGACCCAAGAAGTCTCGAGTGCAATGACAGTGAGCGCGCGTTGCATTTTCTCGAGATTGTTTCGATACGGAACTTCTTCCTTAAACGGTCGTCGCGGTCTATCTGCGGGCGAAATGTACCACTCGGCCGTGAGGAATCTGCCCGCGGTCTCCGTGACGAGACGAAGGGCAGAGTGCAGGAGCGAGAACATCTCTCGCTCCGAGACGTTTTGCTTTTCTGTAGCAAGAGAAAGGAATATATAGCTTTGCGCACATAGCTTGCTGATCGCGTTCCTCGAACTGATCTCTCTCGCGGCTAGGTATACCCTCTAGCTCGAGACGACTCTAGCTCATCTTTCATTATACATAAAATAAAAGCGCGTTCGTGACTATATTCCACAAAGACGACCTGGATCTTCGTCTAATATGACTACGAGGAGTTGGATTCTGATTTGATTTTTCCTTTTTCTCGCAAACAGATGTCACATCCAACGTTGGAAGTTACAAAAAATTACAAAGTCTCATTATTACGTTCTCGTCCACAATTATTGTTTTATAAGGATAATATAATATTAGTTTATTATAGATATTCGCTTTATTGTTTGTCCGATCTCGAAACGTAAACTCTCATCGCGCGAATGCAACGCGGCAACCCTTTCTCTTAACCCGTTCTCCTCGGTGTATTGATTACACCGCGCGTCGTACAGAAAGGACTTCGTGCCTCGGGATCAGCGAACCAAACTCTCTCTAATTTATGTCGATTGCATCCGCGCGCGATCCGTTCTCCCGTCGAGATTAGCGCGTCTCGTCTACCGCAAAAGCGGGATTTTCGATAAGAAAAAACTTTGCCAACAATCGAGCCGGGTTTTGTAGGAGGTGCGCTTCCGCGAAGAAATGTCTTCCGTCTGTATTAAATAACGCGCGGCGCGTTACGTCTTGTCCTTTGTGACCCTTTCTCTTCTCTCGCGAGAGGTACGAATGTTCCTCGCGGCGATATCTCACGAAAGTTATTCCACTTTGCGAACGCGCGCATAACTAGCAGCCGCTCTCGAAGCGAAAAGTTACGTTCTCACGGATCGCGGACTTTCCTTTGTGGAAACTCAATCGTTATAGATTTGCTTTTGTTCATTGGCGTTCGTTAATTAGATCTCAACGAGGTGTAAAAATCACGAATTAAGACTCTTCGGCGTTTCTGCGCTCGAATGTATGTATTTCAACGATGTGTATTACAATTTTATTTGAAGCTCCAAAGTCGTTATTTTAAGTTGGATTAAGTTAAGTGCGCTCGCGAGCTCAACAATTTATATTGACCATTTCTGCGGCGCTTTGTGCAGAACTACACCGAGTTCGCTCAGGATTAAACACGCAATCTTCTCTGACCGCATTGCGTGGAAAGTATTTTAAATCTTAATTAGAATTTGTGTAATTTTGCGTGCGTGGACGGGATGTGAGAGAAAAATAAAAAAAAAAATAAAGATAGCATTTATCACTGAATACATTATGATTTTATAATTATATCTGCATAATAGTTCACGAAAAAATGTAATTTCAAGCGCATTACAAGTTAATTTTTATACAGTACAGTTTCAATGAAAAAAAAATATACATGTGGTGCAAAGCGACCCTGCTGATTATGTATTGCCGATGACACGATAAATAGATTCGATCAAGTTATTTATCTCGTTCATCTTCAACAGAGTTCGAACATTTTATGAACTTTGTGTCACGCATTATTATTTTCACACTTTGAATTTTCCGATGCAGATTTGATATTAAATTCGCGCTTCGATTGATTGAAAACTTTTCGTATTATTTTCGAAAATACGGAAATGTGCGAACGTTGAAACATCAAGCATATTGACAAACAGTGAATGTAAAAAATGTGTTTGATTGTTTCTGTATTTCGAAACGTATCTGTAAGTTTAAGTGTAATTCGTTCTTTCGACGCTTTCCACACTTACCAAGAAATTACTCAAATATTTTTGTCATTACAAATTTATTCTCAAGGTTAACGAACGAAACAACTTTACATCGAATCTATCTACCTGTCAGCAACATGTTGCAGCATCAGTTGCTTGTTTGCGCACATGTTTTCTAATTATTTTCCATCTAAACGTAATATGTTATTTTACGTCTTTTATTTACTGATGATTGCGAACTCGCGTAACGAGTAGTCTAATTACGAGTGGTTCGTAATTTTTAGTCGAAGAAATTCATGTCAGCGTGAATCATCCTACGGCCTCGTAGTGATAAGATTGCGACGCCCCTCCAATCGCTTGTTGTATCTAAGCTTCATTTGCACGAAAAACGTAAGCGTATTGAACTTTGGCCGCTAAACGTCAAACAGACTTTTTTATTGCCATCACGATCTACGCGCAAACACCTGGGATTATTTATCTGATATAATCGAAATAAAGAAATTCGCATGGAAAATAGAACAGATTACGTTCAGTCATTTTTATTTTCCTCAATTGAGAGAAATATTTTTAATCTTCTCTTTTTCAAAACACATGCAATAATTTTTTGAGTATATATGTTAATCAATACTGGCGAAAGGGCAATTGTTTTTTTGCATGTTATTTATAGAAAGTATTGTGATTTTATACTGAATAATGGCGTAGAGAAAGTGTGTCTCTTTAACGTTTTTATCTTTTCCTTGTTTCTTCCGTTATATTGTTTCCTTAATTCGCAACTGTCGTTCCATCGTTTCCTTGTGTCTTTTGTTTTACATGAAAGTGTATTTTATTTTCAATAAATGTTGTACGCGAACAATATCTGATTAACAATTAGTTTTCATAAAAATAATTTTCAGATTTAATCACGTAACGTTTTTGATACGTTGAAAAAAATATACATAAAGAAATATATGATTGCGCGACAGCAACAGCAGCAGAAGAGTCACGTGCGAAATGCAATTGAAGCCTTAGGTGAGTGGTAAAGCTCGGATACGGTATAAGAGAGGGTTGCCGGGCATAGCGCAAGTGACTTGCATTAACTTTCAAAGAAAATATGTTCGCCAACATGTTCGAGCACTGGCGTTCACGAAATCGGAGCGCCATCGATCAACGAAAATATGAAAAATGACAAAAACGTGTGCGTCAAAAGTTTCCTCGGCTCTATAAGAAAAAGAAAAACGAAATCTTTATCGATTGATGTGAAAAGAATAAAGCAGAGCTGCTTTTTCGAACTTATTTTCTCTCTCTCTCTCTCTCTCAATAGGTATTTCTTTAAAAATCATAATTCTATAATTTTCTGCATATGGTGCATATACACAATTTTTTTTTTTTTTTTTTATTAATTTTCACACGCGTATTATATTTTTTTTAGTCACGCCACTAATGCGTTCTAATCTTGTGTACACAGAGAGCTGTGTGTGTTGACACAGTTGTTAGGTATAGTTCGCGGTGAAAAAGCAACAAAGCGAGTCAGTAGGCTCGCACTTGCATTGTATTACGAATTACGTAATTGTGCGCGCAAAATGTGCCGTAACTTTTTTTAAGGCGCGAACCCTCCGCGAATTACGTCTTCTTTTCAGACGTATCTTTAATTAGAGCACTACGTGGGAACCCGGTAGAGAGAGCTCGAGGTTTTTTGCATCTCTTCCTACGAGTAATGATAATTGCCGCTACTGCTGCTGTGCATTGCGCGGATATATATTTATATATACACATATATATGTGTATATATAACATAGAAAGCATGAGAACAATTTCTTTACTATGTCGCAACAAAGCGAGAGAGCTGACCAAGATACACATTAATCCGCGTAAAACGTTAGGTAGCTCACAGATTCACGTAATCTGAAAAAACACGCGCGTTTTTTAGATTAAAAAAAAAACCTACCAGATAGGAGCAGCAATAAAAGTAGAGATAAAGCAATTAAGCAGCGTTTATCTGCTTCTGTAATTTGTATACCGATTCCGATTTCTGTAACTTCTGAGTCAGAATTTTAGAAATATTGCGAGACTCTAATGTTTCCGATAGAATAATGACGGGATGGAAAAAAAAATATATTAAGAGCTTTCTCAATCTACAAATTCTGTGTAAAAGGAAAGTTGGCATGGTGCACAAATTACACAGTAGCTGCAATTTGTCTTTGATCTCGGGGGTCAGTTTTTCTTCAGAACATCTCGAGTGGTTTTTTTTCTTTTTTTTTTTTTTTTTTTTTTTTTTATCAACTACCTCTCACTTGCTTTTTCTTCGCGTGTGTTCCAGAGCGCCTCAACGAAAGTCTCTTATGTAATTAGCGAACATACTGTAACAACGCTTCTCTTACGTTTAGCGCGCGAGGCAAGAACCTTTTCCACGAATAAAGAGTTGTTTTGTAACTTATTAACATACCGATTGCCACATTTACATACGGATATTTGTACACACGCTTCTCTCTGCGTGTCTCTTCTGTGATTCACGCACTTTTAATCCGCGAATCTTTTAATCTACGAATCGGACAAAATGTTTTAAGAGTAATTATATTTACACACACAGGAAAAAATGGTATTGTTATCATTAGATTTCAAAGATTAGTCACTGATTTATCTTTGTATATCTGCGTGACTCAAACGAGAAACATATATCGGTTTGAGACATGAAATATCTCAACTTGGCGATGTTGATTTATGATCGCTCAATAAAATTGACATTGCGCTCCAATGTCATTGACGTTTTAATTCTGACGAAATAAGCACTTCCGTGCGCAAACATGTTACCATGTTTGTCAACACACAAGGTGTTACATTGTGGATATATTTCGCAAGGACGCACTGCGTGAAATTGGTATGTATGTGGAATAACAATGGTAACGCAAGAAAGAGACATGAGTAATTACAACCGCGCACGCGCGCAAGAGAAAGAGAGTTCGCGACAATTACGCCTTACCGTTTTTTTTTCCATTTCTGCCTGGCGAAACGGTATCTTGCGTAATTAGCGACACACGTGCACGGTTCACGTTGTGTGGGAGCCGAAGTTCAGGGTCGCCATATTTCGTCGCCTTTCTAAACGCGGCTAAATTGGCTCGCCTAATCATTAAAGCGGCTAATGGAATCATATAGCGAGCTCGCAATTTAATGATAAAGGGAAACCGGCACTCTTTCATCTCTTTTGAAAGATTTTCGCACGGTCTTATAAGACAGATGCGATCGACACAACGTGCGACTCTATCGTCATTAATAATTTAATTAACAAGGGAATAAGCTCGTTAACGTTTAAGAGCAAGTGTGAATTGTTGCTAATTTCTAAATTTCGTCCGTCATTTCTCGCTCGTCACTTTATATACAATCACTTATAAGAGGTGGTAAATTGAGTATTTACTGCGATTATACGCATTTTACGCTTATTTGAGCTCCTGTGCAATAGTTGTGCAAAAAAAAAAAAAAAAGAACAGTCTGTATGTGACGAGTTTGTTACAATATTATGACTGCGCGAAATTAGCGATTGCGAATCGACGACGTTACTTATGGGATGATCCGGCGAAATGTAGGCCAGCGAAACAGAAGCCGCGGCTTTGACTGAAAAATCATTTTACCGTTGGTTGACATTCTCCACGATAGTACAACACTTGCAGTACAAATGTATCGGGCGTATCCTCCATAACGCTTTCGCTTTAACAACACGTGGTGTTTTGTAGAGATTGTGGTAACAAACGGCATTTGAGTTATTTGGCGAAGGTATACCGTTATCCGCTTACAAAAGTCGCTCACGTTTTGTAGAAAATGTCAAGCGCGGAATAAAAACTGTGTCTCTCAGCCTGGTGACATCATCAAATCTACACAAAATATAAATTTTTTGCTCATGCTTCTTTGCTCATGCGAGATTTGGATGTCGGTCTTTATTTGCTTTTATTTTTTTATATTAGATTTTTTCTCACAATATTGTCTCTGATTTGAAACGCGATATTTTTATTTGCGACGATAGTACACGCACAATTTATTTTAAAGTAAATCAAGTTTTTCGCAAAAACAATGAAAGAAGTTATCGACTTGTCATCTTCTTGTTAGTCGCGTACGTGATTAATGATAGACATTGTACCAAACGTGTTGAATACAACATACGGTAAGTTTTGTCGGTCAAATAGTGTGCATCTGCTATATATGTGCGGCATATAATAACATTAAACGCACAACGGCGAATTGGAGCATTCGTCGATCGAATCTCATTGACGACCTCGTGTATCACTCCGAAAGGTAAAAGCGGGTCGACTTTGTGATACTTGAAAAGCCACTCGGTAACCAATTCATCACCTCGATGATGACGTAACACGATATAAACGAGTGTAGATGATATATTAACTACATATTATGATCTCACCCTAAATAAATATCTGTAGCACACACAGACACAACGTCCATTGGACGTCTAATAATTCTTATGGCTCCACGTCTAATGAACATCTTAATAGAGAGTTTGTACAGAATGTACATATGTTGTTTCGTATAGATATTGTACATCCGCTACTTCAGTTTGAATTTATGTGTTCTTGTGTATACAATTAAAAAGAAAAAAACGCGTACTCATTATTTTATAGTGTATACACACTTGTTTTACTACTTGTTTTATTAGGTTTTTAATTTTATACGTATAATAAATTGTTGGAGCGCGTTAAACGGGGAGATGCGTCGCAATTTTAAAATAAAAATCTCGATAAAACCGACGAAACTTTGCTAATACAAAAATTACGACAATCGATCGTAGGGTAGTCGAGTATGGGTGCCGCATCAGGAGAAGGTGTGGGAAGGCGCCGTGCTGCTGGAAAACCACAAGCAGAAACAGACGACGCTCAAAGTGAAGACGGAGGAGTCGAATCAAATAAAGACGTTGGAGATCAAGACGGACGCGGATTTACCGCCGCTACGCAATCCCGATATTCTTATAGGAGAAAATAATCTCACGTCATTGTCGTTTCTTCACGAGCCCGCTGTTCTGTACAATCTCCAAGTTCGCTTTCAACGGCACTCTATCTACACTTATTGCGGCATCGTTCTGGTAGCCTTCAATCCGTACAACGAATTGCCCATCTACGGCAATGACACGATATGGGCCTACAGGGGTCAGGCAATGGGCGACTTGGAACCTCATATATTTGCCGTGGCTGAGGAAGCGTACACTAAATTGGAGAGGTGACTAATTGCCGTCAGTATTTGTCCGTAGTTTACGCTATCGATATATATATATATATATATCTACGATACTATCTAACGATAATTTTGTTGGTGTATATTTGTTTATAAAAATAAAATAACAGTTTTTTATTCATTATTTTTTAACATTTAGAGAGAATCATGACCAATCGATTATCGTCTCGGGCGAATCGGGAGCCGGCAAAACGGTCTCCGCGAAATATACCATGCGGTACTTCGCGACCGTTGGCGGATCGGCGACGGAGACGCAGGTCGAGAAGAAGGTTTTGGCCTCTTCTCCCATTATGGAAGCAATCGGCAACGCGAAGACCACCAGGAACGATAATTCTTCTCGATTCGGCAAGTTCATCGAGATCCAGTTCAACAAAAACTTTCACATCACCGGCGCCAGCATGAGAACGTATCTGCTGGAAAAGTCGCGAGTGGTATTCCAAGCGAATGAAGAACGCAATTATCACATATTCTATCAGATGTGCTCGGCGGCTGAGCGACGGCTTCCGCACCTGTACTTAACTCATCAGAACAAGTTCCACTACCTCAATCAGGGTAACAATCCCACGATCGACGGCGTCGACGATTTCGCGTCCTTCGACGAGACGATCAATGCACTGACGATGCTCGGCTTCACGCCCAAACAGCTGGACAACATGATGCGCATACTGGCGTCGATATTGCATCTGGGTAACGTACGAATAAACAGCTGCGAGGTCAAGGACGCGCAGGGCGGCGAGGTGGACACCGAATCCAGCTACATCTCGCCGTCTGATCGTCATCTACTGATCATCTCCGAGTTGTTGGGTGTCGATGTGAACTCGATGCGCAAATGGCTGTGTCATCGGAAGATCGTGTCAATGCGAGAGGTGTTTTTGAAATCTATGAACGTAGAGCAAGCAATCGGTGCGCGAGACGCTCTGGCCAAACACATCTACGCCGAGCTTTTCAATTGGATCGTGGCCGGTATCAACAGTTCGCTACAGTCGCCCAGTAAAGTGCAGTATTTTATCGGCGTGTTGGACATATATGGTTTTGAAACGTTCGAGATAAATTCGTTCGAGCAATTCTGCATCAACTACGCAAACGAGAAGCTCCAGCAGCAGTTCAACCAGCACGTTTTCAAGCTGGAGCAGGAAGAGTACTTGAAGGAGGACATCGAGTGGACCTTCATCGATTTCTACGACAATCAACCGTGCATTGATCTGATCGAGACGAAGCTCGGCATTTTGGATCTATTGGACGAGGAGTGTCGGATGCCGAAAGGCTCGGACGGTTCCTGGGCAGAGAAACTGTACACCAAGTGCATCAAGTCAAAACATTTCGAAAAACCGAGATTTGGCACTTCTTCTTTTCTCATTCACCACTTTGCCGATCTCGTGCAATACGAAACCATCGGCTTTCTCGAGAAGAACCGCGACACCGTAATCGAAGAACAAGTAAACGTGCTAAGAAACAGCGAGAACAAGCTTCTGAAGAAGCTGTTTAGTAACGAAGATCCGAAGCTGGCAGTGCCGCACACTCGAGTGAGGGTGTCGGCACAGAAGAACGTGCCGTCCAATGCGTCCAACAACAAACAGAACAAAAAAACGGTCGGTTCGCAGTTCCGTGACTCGCTCAACATGCTGATGGCGACGCTGAACGCTACAACGCCGCACTACGTGCGTTGCATCAAGCCGAACGACTCGAAAGAAGCTTTCGAGTACAATCCAGTGCGAGCGGTGCAACAACTGCGCGCCTGTGGCGTTTTGGAAACCATCAGAATTTCCGCCGCCGGCTTCCCGAGCCAGCGAACGTACGGCGACTTCTTCCAGAGATACCGCTGTCTCTGCAGATTCAAGGAGATACGACGGGACGATCTGAAGGAGACCTGCCGGCGCATCCTGGCCAGATACATCAAAGACGAAGACAAGTTCAAGTTTGGTAAAACCAAAGTGCTCTTCAGAGCCGGTCAAGTGGCGTACCTGGAAAAACTGCGCGCGGACAGACAGCGAGACGCCTGCATAATGATCCAAAAGACTGTTCGTGGTTTCATCTATAATAATCGGTACAGAAAGATCCGCAAGTCGATTCTTCTTCTCCAGAGATACGGTCGTGGTCACATCGCTCGACAGAAAGCGGAGGCTGTGAGGAGAGAAAGAGCTGCGGTGAAGATACAGGCGCGGGTGAAGGGTTGGCTGCAGAGGCGATGGTATTTGCAATTGAAACACACGATTCTCGGCCTACAGACGCACGGCAGAGGTGTCATGGCGCGCATCAGGTTCAGGGTGATGAAAGACAACGCCGCTGCAACGACGATCCAGAGATTCGCTCGAGGATATCTCGTGAGAATGGCGTGCAAGAAGAAGCTCAGAGACATAATCATCGTGCAATCGTGCATAAGGAAGCATCAGGCAAAGAAAGTCTTCAGACAACTGAAAGCCGAGGCCAGAAGCGTGGAGCACGTCAAATCGCTTAACAAGGGATTGGAGATGAAGATCATCACACTCCAACAGAAGATAGACGAAATGGTAAGTACCCAGCAAACATTTCGGTCACAGAACCATATCCATCTGTGTCCTCAGTAGGATATGGTTTGTTAATCATGTCTGTCAACATGTGAAATGTCAAAATGCGACCAAAATAATGACAGAGTCTGCCACAAGCAAAGCGAGGCCAAATTAT